CAAGGGGAACACAACAGATGGGTAAAAGAAAATTAGTAGATATAAACCCAATATATTAATTGTATTATATGCAAATAAACTAAATACTCAAAAGAATGTTCAGACTGAATGAAATAAGAACATAGCTATATGTGGTGTATAAGGGATACATCTTAAAAATTTAAGGACACAGGGAAGTTACAAGTGAAAGAATGGGAACGATATTCCATGCCAACACTAACCAAAAGACAAAGGGAAACTCTTCACATTGAGTAAATCCACAAAAAAGAGATCACAATTCTCAATCTGTATGCTCCCCATAAAACAACTTCAAAATCTATAAGATATGATTAACGAGCCTGTTACATTTAAAATTCTACCCAGAATCCCCAGAAATGAAAATTTAATTATTAGTTTCTCTGCTGCCAGGCAACATGTTTAAAACATAGAAATGGTTAGTATTTTATAGCAACCCCTTTGAAGCATCTTTCTATAACGAAAGGAAGGCCTCCTGAGGCTCACCTCTCGGTTTTTTCAAAATAAACCCAGAAGCGTCACTTGTGTCACCCGCCTTGAGGTAGAGGGAGGGATGAGAAGAGAGAACTGAGAGGCGTCAGGAGATAAACAGATGAATAAGCCTAGTCATCACGCCTTGCTCATGAAAATGCTGTAAGGCCTTACTAACAAGAAAATGACACGATCTTTGTCTATTAACCACAATCTGCTTTTGTGATCCAGGAAATGATAGCAAAATGGCATATCTGCCAACAACTTATTCACGATCAGTAAGTAATTATTCACAAAACTAATACCAGACAACAGGCAACGGTCCACAAGCACCAGGAAAGACTGAGAAGGAGCACAGAGAGAACAAGCCGCAGTCACTGGATGGAGAGGGCCTGATGCAGGGCGTGTCTGCGTCCCGGGTTTTCTAGTTAATGTGATTCACCCACGCAGAAAACACAGACAAACAAAAACCAGCGGAGAAGTGCCCCTGGCTGTCAGGAATCTTTCCATGGGTTCCCTAGAACCAAATGTCTTTGGGCCAGAGTTTCACAACCGCTGTTCTCATTTCAAAACAAAATACGCTTGCTAAACAACAACAAAATGTATGGATTTGCAGAATGAGAAAGATAGTGGGATAACAATGGTAAGCTTCAATAGCTTCATCTCCAAAGTTTTACCTCTTTGTTCTTTGGAAGAATAATTACTGTCAATTATCCTGGAATTTTACAAAGCTACTACATTATAAGAAAGCCCAGCAGACCATTTCGAAAGAAGAAGAAAAATAAAAGACCTCAAAAGTTTATTCCGACTGCAAAAAGAAAAACACACTTGTCAATTCCAGCTGTGAGCACAATTGTTTTTCTCCCAAGGCAATAAATGTGTTGTAGGTAAGAAAATGAGAACCCTAGTTTTTCTCTCCCCCACCTCTGCAAACACCACACGTGACAGCTGCTTAGACCTTGCTATGGATCAAACATACCAGGCATCAGCATAGGACACACACGACTGCTTTTTCTTAAGCAGCCCACACAAAATAGGAATATTACTTCATCTAAAAGTAATGCCTTCGATAGCAGAGATGAAGAACCACTGAAACGTTATGGTAGGACAGAGTAGCAGTAGGCGGGGGACAGGATGCCAGCCGTCCATGTTGTAAAGTTGGAGATCTGTCCACGATTTAAGGTCATGCTTTTCTTTCCTACCATAGAATCTTCTGTGCAGCTTTATTTAGACAATAGATTTAAATGTAACAAGTATTACCATTATGCAATGTGCCTGCAACTGTGTTCTAAGTTGCAGAAGGGAACATACATCCTTCTCTGCCCTCAAGAATCGAAGAAGGCAGCCAAGACACACATTCAGAAAATGTTTACAGAAAAGAGTAAGGTCAATAAGCTATTCAAGTCTGGGATACAGTCTGGGATCCAAAGCTCATTAAGTGCTTATGGAAGAAGGAAGGGACAAGGCGGGAAGGAGCAAGGGAGGGGAGGAAAGGATCAAGATATCAAAATCGCCATGCTTACTACGGTATTTGGTTAGAGGAGGTCGGGGAGGCCCTGGCCAACGCTGTGGAAAGCTTAGCTGCCTCTCTGCCTTTTGGCAGCTGCTGCTGCTCGCCTTCTGGCCTCTTGGTACTTTTTGTCCCAGGCAGTCTCTGCTCGTGACACACAAGCTACACGGCAAAGACATTCAGTTCTGGATCAGGCCTGGCTCCTGCTGGGGCCACTCCAGGACAAAGGCCACGCCCCTGGGCCATGGTCTACGCCAACCTCAAGCTGCCAAGCTCCAAAACAAAGGCCTTCCTGAGGACATCAAACGTAAATCAGTTCCCTTGGTCAGAGGCAAACCTCTGCTGAGGATTTCACTCCATTTCTGCATAACAGTAGGACTGAATCATGCCTGGGGACGACGGAGGGCTCCGATGATGTAAAGCCAAGGAGATACTGGGGACAAGAATCTCAGAGACTGACCCCCAAGCTAATGGGGAAGAAAGGCTCTCAGGAACCTAATTAAGTAGATTTAGTAACCAGGAATAAGCTGGGGCCATGCTAAGCTGTCAGGCAACAGAAATTCTAGGTTAAAAGTATGAGGAAGAGAATGTTCATCACCATCCAATATATTTCTTCCTTAGTACTTGACTAAAAGAACTCTGGTTTTCTTTAAAGCGTCAACAGGCCCATCTAAAGATCCCTTCCACCTTCCTTACATCTATGGTGGTCGTGTGACGTAGTTCTGGCTAATGAGAGGAAAGCCCATGACTCTCTGTAGGGACTGGGGGAGGCCTTTCTAAAGGAGAGTAACTGGAAGAGCTGTTTGCCCCTCACTTCCTGGAATGCAATCCTGTTGCCTGGAATGCAATCCTGCAGGAGCCACCATGGGGCCAGGAGATAAAGGCACAGACTCTAGGGATGGTGGGACAGACAGATAAGAGGAGCCAAGGACACGGGGACCCCAGGGGCCACATACAGAAGCTGTGGACCCTTCCTCTGGGCTCTGCGCTGTATGGGGAGAAAAAAAGTGAACCTCATCTGATGAAGCTACATTAAGCTGGTTTTTTCTGTAACACACAGCCAGTCATATTCCTAACCTTGGTCAGATCAATCCAACTCAATACTGGTCATTCACCATGGTAGTAAGACCTCAGGCCATTTGTACATTGAGACTAAAAGAGATCAAAGAGATGCAAAGAGAGATCATTTTGCTACTGGTCCACTTGAATGCCCCCTAAGCAGCATTATTTCAGAAAAGAGTACGGCTACTGCAATAACAGGAACACATCGACGACCAAGCACATTTCTTTTGATCACTAATCTCTGAATGAGGAGGCGGGTCAGCGGTGTGATCGGGAAGATGAACACCACTGAACCCCTACCTCAATGTCCTATTGATCCCAAAGTGTACAAGATTAAAATTCTTTCAAAGAAAACATGACAAAATCCATATGACCTTGACTGCTCTGTGCTTTCCAGTCAATCCTGTCACTTTGGTTTTGGTTGAGAGTAATCAGAGATTTAAAATTAGTGAGGAAAATATAAAAGCAAGACAGAGACTGCCAAGAAGTTCATTTTCTCAGAATTAATTTTATTGAAAAATAAATAAAATAAGGAGAAAACAAAACCTAGTTTATTTCGTCGTCTTTCAGACCCGACAGTGAGAAAATCGTCCACAGCTCTGAACCATAAGAGAAGAGAATGCTTTGATCCTCATCAAAATTCATGCCCATCCATATAAGCAAAATAAAAGAGTGTGCCTTTGATTTCTCAGTCAAGGATAAAAACATCATGGCCTCAAACCATGGGTCTTTGTACATAAAAATGGCAGGGCAGAGACTGTTGTCTCTGGTAGGGCAGGGACCCTACAGTGCACACAGCACAATTAACCCTTAGCCAGTAACACAGGGGCTGTGACCACTGACCAGTGGGGGCACTAACTCTGTTTGTGACTTTTACAGGTCTACACACAGTCATTAACCTGTTTCTTTGGCTTTATTTGCACCATGCTGCCTACAAGAGTGGATCTTGAACACCTTCCCTTCCCCATGGGCCCTTCTGGAGGAAGCCACTTCAGGTCAACAAAGGTAACATGAAGAGGAAAGAGGGGAGTGCGGACTTTGGTCTACACTAGGTCAATTTCCAGCTCTTGCTGGCATGTTTCAAGAGCGCTATGCTTTTAAAAAATGACCTGTGTTCTCTTCTAAATCAAAGGGACATGGGGTTCTAAATTCCATGGCTGTGGATGAACTTGAACCTCATGACAAGAACATCAACCCAGAATAACCAACATGAGCCCACATCACTCAAAGTAGGTCACCCAGGGCAGCTGTCCCCAGCACAAAGGGCAGGGTGAGTGAGCTTCAATGCCCACCCCTCTGTCTGCCCCTTTTCCACATTTCTTCATTCATAAAGGCAAATATCATGGACCAATTGAAAGCTTTTATTTTAGCACAGCTCTCAATCTGCAGATTAAGAGCTTGAAAGTTCAAAAGTAATTCAAAAATTCATTCCACACGGTATATGAAATTTGTCACTAAGCTAAATGAGCTGAGTGTCCATCCATGTGGCAATTCGTCTGCAGATCTCTCGAGCAATAAAACATTATTCTGGTTGAAGGCAAGAGACGGAGGAAGCCGCCCAGTCTTCCCAAGTAAGACAAGCTGACCTGGTTCTGGCTTTTTGTGTTGCCTTTAGTTTTGTTCTTTTGAGACTTTTTTCCATAGAAAGATACACTGAAAAGAACTTCCGAACCCTTGGTATACACCCTGCATGACCTCTGAAGGACTGGGAACACTTTCAGTAGACGATGCTTTCCCGACACACACACACACTTCAGACTCGGGAACAGGACTCACAGTCAAAATCTTACGCAGAGGCAGTTTCAGTAAGAGAGGGGCAACCACCTCAGGACTGGCACTGTCATGCTAGAGAGCAGGGGAAGGAAGGAAAAGACGGAGGAAGGGAAGGAAGGAAGGGAAGGGCTTCTGGAAGCGGAGGAGAGCCAGCACCGCCGACACCTACTGGTTGAACAGTATCCGGGAGCGCACGATGAACTTGAAGATGTACTCCAGCGCTTTCATGGCCTTATACAGCTGGTCGCTGACGCCCGGCTTCTCGGCATTGTCCACATAGTTTCTTAACACTTTGGTCAGCTTCCTGTGCAGAATGGAAACACAAATTAATTAAGTTCAGAAAATTTATAGTATCTTGGACAGAAAATACGCAAGTGGGTCATTTTTATTTTGATTCACATTTATCAGGTTATGAGCATTGGTAAACATGTATTCTAAATAGATTAAAAGTGATGCATAAAATAACTGAGCATTTAACAAGCACTTTCTAAGTTTTAGATGTTTCTCTTAAGCATTTTCATCTATCATGTAATTTAATCTTCACAACAACGCTATGAAGCCCATAGTAGAGTAATATCCTTAATTTATAGATGAAGATACCTGGGCCTAGATAGGTAACTAGCTTTCCCAATGTTAAATAACAAAATCAAAGGGTTTTTTCTCTTTATTGCCATATCTATTTGTTATGCTCTTTTTTTTTTACACTGAACATGTATAATTTTCAAATGAAAGAGGCAGTAGTAGCAGTAATCAAGTTTTAATTCTGCCCGAACACCTAATATCTACCACTACTGTCCCATGAACTGATAACCCTTGTTCACTGCTAGTAAGGATGACCCTCAAGCAGTGCCTTTCAAATCACAGAAGAACAAGTTAACTTTAATATCGTTCCCATGTTTAGTGTGTTGGGCTGTACAGAAGCTCTGCAAAACTAGCAGCGTACGTGCAATTGGTAAGACAGCCAATGAGATTATCCCATTAACCAGACTTCTCTGCTCTGCAGTTTTCGTGTAGTCAACAAGAATGCACTATGGCTGTTAAATAAGCATCCTGCTCCTAACAGCCTGCTAGGGTACTGACAAGTGTTGTCAGGGAAGTTATGAGCCAGCAGGCAACAGATTATCAGTTGAGATTATTATAAAACACTTGTAAAAGCGACTGTTAACTTTGGTTATTTATGGATGACCTCAAAACAGCCTTCAGAGTTTTCCTAATAAATCACAATGAACGGTTTTTTTGAGTGACTGGACGTAAAGTCTTCACTAGCACTGATCAGGGTGCAAGAACTCTAGTCAAGAAACCAGACACCATCAGAGGGACATTCCCGCAAATGTGTTTGGAAGAGGTGAGGCCAGCAAGGTCCTCTTCCCACAGGCTCTGCAGCCCCTGTGCTGGGAGGGAGGCCTCACCATGTCTGTCTGTCGGGGCTTCTCTGGACACAGAAGAACATCTCAAGGACTGGCAGGAAACCTGCTTCGCTCAGTTTAACCTATTTTCCCAAACTCACTGGACCACATACCTTTTCTTACTGATATCCCAAAGAATAAACATTCCATAGAACACATTTTAGGAATTCTTCCAATAGATAAACCAGACAAAAGAAGAAGGAGTGATTTTCAAATGACCCAGAACCAGAAAATAAATCTGGAAGTCAAAAGCCCATATCCACATGAGCCAGGCCAACCTGTAACTGCAAAGAGCAAACCCCGTGGCATGAGCTAGGAGGGGCCAACCAGACCAATGCAGCATCAGTGAAGTGGGAGGGAGCCTGACCAGCTCCAGGAGGGGTGGCTCTGCAGCCAGAAAGGAGCCTGTGCAGCTGGTTCTCTGAAGGGCGGTCTCCGAGGCTGAGGCCCCCTCCCGTCTTACTTGCCCCCAGCTCTGGCCACCGGGATGGGGCTTCAGGCAGTGAACACCCTACCCACGGACACGGTCTCAGGGCTGGAGAGCTAAATAGTCATGCCCAGGGCCTGTAGTCATCTTTAATTCTCTTAGACGTCTTTGTGAAAAAGGATAAATCTCTCAACATTTGTCAAAGGGAAGAGGTAAAGGGACTACCTGGCTGGAGTCTAACCTTCGAGGGGCAGAGGGAGACTTCCAGGAGGGCGCCTAGCACCAGCCCCGCCCCAGACCAGAGAGCGCCCCGCGCTTCATCAGCGCCAGACAAACCTCCGCGATTTGGTCAACACTGTGTGAGTCACAGTGATCCCCTCTGGTATTTCAAGGGGTAAACCCTCAGATTCACTGCAGAGGGCCCAGCTGGGGTGGCTCGCTCATCCAAACATGTTAAGAATGCTTATTTTCCAAAACCAAAGTTTCCCTTCAACAGATCACGGAGACTGAAGGAGAGCATGAAGATTCTCAAGCGGGCCCACCGTGACTTACAGGTAAATGGCACTGTGCTCCTCCCACTGCGCCAAGAATGTCCCGACTGTCGTTTTGCCACCTACGAGAACAAATGCCACGTTCTTTGCCCAGCAGCCTGGGAAACCAACTAAGGGGTCTGGAATGCAGTGTGGTGACCTTACTCGTTCTGATTTTCTGAAATTCAAGTACAAAATCTAATCTAATCTGAGAAGAACCATATTTCGATAAAAAAGCAGAATTGTGAAAGTGACACATTGGTGATCATACTAAGAGACGTTTACACTAAGATGACACTAAGAGCCACTTCCAAAAACCCCAGCCAGGCTCAGATCCACCCTCCCCACTGTCTGCAGAGAAGTGTGCAAAGTGTAGGCAAACCAGGCACCTCCACTCAGAGAACAAAATGTTTTAAACAAACATATTAGCGTGCAAGCACAAAGGACCTGTGGCAGCATGTTCTGAGTGCGCGAGGACATCACAGCTCTCTGCCCTGCCAGTGGCCCCACCCACCGCCTTGCAGTCAACAGGCAGGTAGATAGGAAAGAACCCAGGGCCGGGCTGACGTACACTGATGGCTGGCATCAGACCTCTGACCCCGAGTTCATAGCAGCACACAGGCAAGGAAAACAGGTTTTGACCTCAGTATAGTCAAGACAGGCACGGGAGCTTCGACTTACTTTACTGAGCTAAAGAGAATCATTCCTAATGATTCCAAGTGGGATGTTCTCAAAGAAATTATCTTAATCTTTCCCTTTTCACTGCAACTCACGCAATTAAAAGCTGAAATAAATGTCAAGGAGTCCCACCATGAGCAAGAGAGTAACTCATTATAATCATTCTAATAATAAGGAAACGTAACAATTGCTTAGTGCTTTCTAACTGCCAGGGATATCAAGCCCTTGACATGTTAATAACTCATGAAAATTCTCAAGAAACCCTACAATCTTGCCCATTTTACAGGTGAGAAAGCTGAAGCCTAGAAAGGTGAAGCAGCTTAAACTCGTAAGGAATAGAGTTGGAATTTAAGCCCAGGTAGCCCGGTTCCAGGAAGGTGCTGGTCAATGGCAGGTGAGCCGCCCTCCTGCCCAAGCGTCACGCACTCCCTCTGGTGTCTTACTAGACCCACAGGGATGGGTATGTAGGTCTGGGGGCACGTCAAGAACAGCTGGGTGGGCAGTAAGAATCCCAGTAACATACAGCTGAAGTTTCTGGGAAAAAAGGGAAAGCACTCTTTAAAGAGCAAAAACATATTCAAAAGTCCAAAACTGATTTTTTTTCACACTCAACAACCAATGATCTCAAAACAAGAATATACCCATTTATTTATTCATCAAATGCTTGCTGGGAAGCAGCAGTGTGCAGGCAGGCACTCAGAACCCATCTCTCAGTTTCAGCAAATCTACACTGAAAACTTCTAAGACATAAAGAACGTGTGGAGGAGAACAAGAATTTATTCCAGAGTATCATGAAATTTATCACATATTTCTTTTGATAAGACTTTGAGGTCTATTAAGGGGGAAGCAATAATAAAAATCATCCCAGTAAATTCAGAGTTTTGAGGGGGTAAATGCATAATCATAGACAAAAACATGGGAAAGACTTCACAACAAGCATACATAACGAAGTATTTGTTTTACAATAACAAACTTACGTGTAGGCTAAAGTTGCACTAAAGTGTTTCTTAATGTAGGTCTCTAAAACAGGATTAAAATGTTGAAATTTTCTATCAGCAATTAGTCCAATGATAAATACCTGTTAAGTTAATCAGAATTTCCATTAGCAAAATAATGCAAACCATTTCGGATACCCCAACTGAATCATCTGCTCCACTGCATAGTCAATGAACTGTACCATTTTCAGACAGTCAGTTTACCTCTTCTTACCCTAGAAATGACATTTGCTAACCGTAGTATTACACTGAAAGAAACTTTCTACCCTCGATTCTTCTGCTTTGATTGGATGTAAACCTTCAAGGTTACTGTGCTGGGTCCCCATCCCCCAGCTTCAAAGGCTGCAGCCTGAAAGCACACCTTGGTATCTAAGCAGATGAAAAGTAAGGGCCTCTTACCAGAGCATCAAACACTAATGTATCAAAAGTCTCGCTCTCAGAGTTCTCCATCATGATGTTGAAGAGGGCATCCAAGGTGTCCTGGAGGAACTGCAGAGACACAGAACATCACACACAGAGGAAACGCACCCCTCCTTTCCCCAGCGCAGAACACCATAACCTTGGCAGTACTCCAAACACCCACGACTTATGAAGCTATTAACTTCAAGGATTTTCCCCAGACATGAAATGCACAAGACAAAAATGTGAGATGAGTGAATTCAGAACAAATCTGCCTCTGAGTCAAGTGGGGGGACATTCCCACAGCACATTTCCAATGCTTTTCCTGGCTTCCATCCTTCTGGTGACAAAGTTCCATCAAAAGCAACTCCAAGAAGACTGGATCTCACTGATTCATTGCTGTCCGAGCGTAAGACCTGAGCTGGCAAGTTGGCAGAGGCCACACAGCGACAGGTAGCAGCTGAGTACAACACAGGACCTTCTACAGACCCAGATGTCCAAGGACACAAGAGTGTGTGATTCTGAAACTGGACTACACAGCAGAAGGCCAGGAAGCACTTTTTATTCAAGGGTAATTCATAAGTTCCTTTTATAGCCTACTATAACTCACCAAACAAGAACTGGAACATAGAATGACAAAATATCATGAATTTAACTAAGAACACAAAAAATTAGGAGACTACAAAGTTGTATCACACTAGAAATTGGCTTTAAACTGTATTCTCATCCTCCACTAAAGGAAAGATAAGACGGACTGTCAGAGTACATTGGGAGTATTGAGTTCCCTATTTGTGGAGGAGTTCAAGAGGAGGCAGAAGCCATACAATCGAATATTGGCCATAAAAAAGGAATAAAGTGTGGATACATCATCCTTAGTCACTAGGAATATGCAAATTGAAACCACAAGATAGCACTTTATACCCACGGTGATGGCTGTCATTAAAAAGATGAGCAATAGTAACGGTGGGAAAGGGTGTAGAGAAATTGGAGCCCTTCCACATTACTGGTAGAAATGTAAAATGGGGCGACAGCTTTGGGAAACATCTTCACAATTCCTCAAAGAGTTAAAACACAGACTGACCATGGGCCTCAATAATCACATTCCTATATACACCCAAAAGAATGAAAAATATGCCAACCACACAAAAACATGTACACAAATATTCACAGCACCTTTATTCATAAATGTCAAAATGTGGAAACAACCCAAATGTCCATCAGCTGATGAATGGATATACAAACTGTGGCACAGCCACACAACGGAATATTTATTATTCAGCCACAAAAAGGAATGCAGTTCTGATACATGCCATCACATGCTTTGAAAGCACCATACCAACTGAAAGAGGCCAGTCACGAAAGACCATATATTGTATAATTCAATTTACATAAAATAATCTAGAATGGTCAAATCCACAGAGACAGAAGGTAGATTCACGGTGCAGGGAGAGAAGGGAATGGCTGAACAGGTATGGGGGTTCTTTTTACAGTGATGAGATGTTCTGAAACAAGACAGGGGGGTGGTTTCATAACTGAGAATACACTAAAATCCATTCATTTGTACAGACTAACAGGGTGAATTTTATGGTTCGTGAATTCTATCTCAATGAAGCTGTTACCGAAACCAGAAAAGAATATGTGAGATGGTCCCCACAGCAAGGGTGTCCAAAAGACGGCTGACTGAGCTGCCTGGTCACTATCTCCCTAGATAGTTCCACCTGTGTGGGGGACCCCAGGGGCCTCCTGGTCCCCACAGGTCTCAGCTGGTTAGAGCCTCAGACTGAGGAACCACACCAGGGACCTGCCCCACACCAGCGCTCACCCCACTGGCCCCCTTGTGCTGTGAAGCTGGGCAACAGCCCCAAATTCAGTGCCCCCAGCTCTCCCTCAGAAGGGAGAATGTGCTCCAGACCCAGGAAGAGACCCAAGACCCACAAATGCTTAAAATCTTCATTACAGTCCCCTGTGCCACCTACTACCTACTTTATGTGTCACATACGGAAGACAGGGGAATAACACTGTCTGACCCAGAGGCATTCTGGTCTGGGCACCAAGGGCTTCATCAACCCCGTGAACCCAGGGACACGGCCACACTGCTTGTGTAGCGTTCTCACCATTTTCAGACTACTATCTCTGCAAAGGTCAAAACTTCACACCATCTGCTAACAGCCCAACGGTACTGCCAACAGATTCACCGGGTACCAGGCTCATGCAAAGTCCCCTGCTGCCCCACCCAGACAAGGGGCACGGTCAGCAGCGCAGAGCTGTGAGGGCAGAGGTGCGGTGGTTCAGGGAGGCGGCACCCTGAGGCCATGCCTAGTGGGCTGCTGGCAACACCTACCCTCCCACTGAGACTGGAGGACCCACAGCACTACATTCATTTACCACCAAAATGGGGAACTGTAGCTCTTATTAAATAAGCAGATCCTTTCCTCAACCTATCCAGCAATGTCATCTCTTATTATACAGATGGGGGGCCTTGAATAAATGGAATAAACCCACAGTCTACTGGTGTCCTTCAGTAGAGGAGCTCCAGGCAGGCTGGGGATCCCTCCAGCCCTGGCCCCTTTAACAGCCACATGGCCTTACACCAGTCCAGTTACCTCTGTAGGCCAGCAGCGAGTCAGGCTGCGCTGGCAACAGGGAAGAGCAGCCCGATAGAGCAGATAAGAGACAGACAGGTCCTCTGGGTCAGCATGGTGCCGGGGTAACAGGTGTGAGCTGGGAGAAGGGAAAGCCACTGCCAGGGAGGAACTGTCAGACTTGGTAATAGATTAGATGGGGAATGGAGGAGAAGAACAAAATGAGCTGGTCCTAGATTTTCCCTGGTTGGGTGTGACAGTAAGTCAACAGAAACACAACTAATTGTAGAAACAATACAAGGACTTACAAATGGAAAAGGACAAAATTCCATTAATTGTGTGTCTTCTAAAATTATGTTAACTCATTCATCCAGTTCCCATTTGAATCCAGGAATTTACAGAACTCAGGAAAGTTTAAAATGCAATTAACATTGTCCAAGCCAAAGGTAGCAGACAAGAACCTAAAAAGATCATTAAAAATTAGAAGATTAGAAAGGATATGTTTGAATGGTTATACAATGAATGCAGAAAAGTGGTGAAACCACATTAATTTGTACTGAAGCTAAGCACACTGCTGTTTAATTAAGGCCATTTTTAGTAATTAATTTTTACAGAGATAAGGTTGTCTCCTTCTGCAAGCACCTCTCAGGGAGGGGGACATCAGACAGTAATAGAGAGACCCGGCTGCAGAGATCTCCCTCAGGAAACCACCGGTGGGGAATAGCTCATCGCCCACCAGTCAAGATGGAGCACCCTGGAGACGAACGTGCCTCTCCCTTCCATCCGAGCAACAGTCTCTAGGGCCACTGAGGCAAGAACAGCCTAACACTGTAGAAATTAACAGAAGCACCAGCAATTGTCGAGTAAAGAATTACTAATGACCCTTGTCTAACTGTCCTACGTGACAGATAAAGACTCGAGAGGGCACCTGACATTTCTCCAGAGCCTGCTATGTGTGATGCTAAGAAATGAGCCCAAGATTGAGTGGGAAGAAAATGGCCAAGACAAGACTCGGCACTGCGAACTTCCTGACACCCCGCGTAGCTCTGCAGGTCAGTTATGGAAGTTCTAGGTGAGCTGTGAGCAAAAGTAGTGCTGCTGATGAAGGTCCTCAGCAAGACCTAACCCTTCCTGAGCGGGTGCCAGGTCCAGACAGACACCGCATCTCATGACAGAACCTACGAGAAGGCATCGCTGTTACCTCCACTTTACAGCAGGGCAAAGGGAGTCTTAAAGAGGCCACTTAACCAAGAAGTGGCTGCAGAGGAACCAGCACCCAAGCCTGGGTTAATGCCAAAGCGCACTTCCCTCGCGGTGAAGCCAGACCAGAATCCCAGGAGGATCCTGTCCACTTAGAGGTGTATGTCGATACGCAAAAGGAACTACTTGGTAAAGGGGTTATAAACAAAACCCCAACACGTCTGCAGGCAGAGCCTGTGCCTGTGAGCACACATGGGAGACACAGCCAAAGGAAACCGTCCCGGGGGTCCCTGGGGTCCGGGTTACCTTCACCACTTCGCCACCGTCCACCTTCATCAACTGCCGCAGGTTCTGCTGCAGCAGGCTGGTGTGCGAACGCCACTTCAGCAGGCCCAGGAGGTCCACTGGAAACGGAAAGCGAGAGTCAGCCCCTCGGAGCCCGAGCGCCATCCGCCACGGGCGCGCATCCGCTGAGGGCCGACAGACATGCCAGACGGGGCAGTCCGCCCTACTCGGACACATTCGCCAGCTGAGTACTTCACTACTTTCTAGGACATATTTGACACCCAGGGTGGCTGAATTCATTATTTCCAACTCCATTTACCATGAAATGTTTGCACGTTGAAACTTTAAAATTGCACTCAAAAGCCTAAGGGTGAAGAACTGGCCTTTCCCACCGACGAGAAGGCAGTTTCAGAGCAGCAGCGAGCTGGAGAAGACGGCTCACCCAGAAAGCACTGCCCTAGATCTTCTACCAAGTGGGCTTTTCCTGTTTAAGAACAACATGCTAGTTTTTGGTCTTTTTTTTTTAGATAAAATAATATAAAATAACTAACAAATTCGGGTACTGAAACTGCAGGGTGTTGGCACAGAAAGGAGATGGGAACCCCAGACCTGGGGGCCACGGCTCTGCTGAGCTCTGTGCCCTCACCCCAGCCAGCCTTCCAGGGCTGTCTGCTTCTTACAGTGGAAATTTCTGTGTCTTTGTTTTCTAATAGAAAAATCACACCAAATGTGGAAGACAATGTCCACTAATGACTTTGTTCAAGACAGCAAGATGATTTTGTTTAAGGCATGAAAACAGAATCCAAAAACATCTCCGGGAGGGAACATGTGTCCACAAAATGGTCACATCAGGTTACAGCATTATCCTGTTTCGTGAAAAACACAATTAGCAAAGTGCATCTAATTTACTGTTTCTGTTCAATGGGAACAAATGTCAGTGACACAGATTGTCTACATAAGGGAAACCCTAGCAAATAATGAAAAGAAAAATACAATTTTGGGAAAAGGTAGAATTTCAGGCAACCAATTGTCATTTAAGGATCAGACCACCCAAAGGGCAAACATGTGCTGAGCACCAAAACACACATTCTCATTTATCTGACCCTACCTGTAAGTGTAACTGACAAAGGGAAGAGTTCAAAAATGGGAAAATGAAAAGGGGACAGTGTCCTCCAGTACTGTGGAACATATAAAGCACAGGCTCAAATACCAGCTGGGCCACACCACACTATATGACCTGGAGCAAATAGCCTCAGTTTTCCTATCTGAGCAATAGGCACAATGTTGCCTAATTCACAGGGTTGGTGCAAGAATTACATGGTACAACAAGGAGAAGGACTTAGCGTGATGACCGGCATGAAGACTAACGACAACGGTCCTTTGCAGAGATGACTGGGGATAGAACATTTCAGCCACTCGTTGTCAAAGTCAACATGTTTTAATCTCTAAGGGAAAATAAGTAACAAAAAAGGCTACATCCCGCCCGTGCCCGCTCTCAGTCCTAGAGTTAAGGACGATTTCCATCTTCCAATAATTACCAGTATTTTTTTAATGGAGACTAGTTAATAACCTGGATCCTATTCATGCAAGCTACTGACAGTTTGGATGTGGGGGAGGCTGAGGTTTACCTGGGTAAAATTGGGAAAATTCCTAGAGAAAGAACAGCTTGAGGAGGGAACACGTTTTCAGAATGCAGAGCTTGCCCAACTCCAGCTACGCATGGCAGATGGGGCTTGCCTGCCCCGTGCCTGCGTTCCCAGAGGACACCGCAGTCTGGCCCTTAAAGACTCTTTGTTTCATGACTTCTCACTCTCTAATTACACAGTGAGCTAACTGAGGAAAGGAATCCCACATTACGCCTGTTTTCATATCCCCCATAGCATCCAGCACAACACTGAGAACAGAGATGTTTAATACCAACCTCGATGAATAATTCAGCCCCTGCTTTTCCCTAAGTGATGGAACTTTGCAGTAACAAATCATGGTCTCAGGAATATGACTCCCTCAAAATGAGAATCTGATGCTCAGAGGCCAACTGGGGCAGCTCTACCCTGCACAGGCCTGCCACACCACCATCCCGAACAGAGGGATTGCTGGCTGGTGTGAAACGAAAGCAGAGAGATGCATCCCTTTACCCTGGGTGAGCAGCATCAGAATCCTCTGGTTGCCTGGCAACAGCTGCTGCTGGGCCCAGGGCGCTCACTGCCTCCATTCCAGGGAGGGATACCCTCGGCCAGTGAGATGCAGTGAGTGTGGGGAGGAGGGGGTTGGACCTGAAATCGAAATCATGTTGAAATCACCACCCTGGGAGAGTTCTGCGATGTAATATCTCAGGGATCTCCTAGTCCACAGTTCTCTTCTCCAGAAAAACATAGGCTAAGAAGGATTCTGTAGGTGGGCCTCACAACCTAACTGCCCTTCAGAACACTGTTCAATGTTCTGGGGAAAATATGTTGAAGCTCTAAATAACAACTTCTAAACATGCTTTTGGAATATGACCCACGTACAAACCGGTGGCTTCCTATATAGGGAAAAATGGCAGCACACAGCAGCTCCAATTCAAAACCCAACATGCTACAGGGATTGGGTGACGGCTCACCGGAGAGGCTGCTGTTGCTGAGTTAAATGAGGCTGTGGACAGGGCAGCTGTCAGGCTAGTGGACTGTCAGGGCCACATCCACATCTGACCTATCTGGGCATCCTTTCCATGACCCAGTCCCAGACCAGCACCCACCTTACGACCCCAACACTCCCAGGGGCACTAAACTTACAAGCATCCTGTGCCTCCTCGACCCTTCCCCATGCCTGCACAGAGCCCAGTGACCCAGCTAAGGGTTTTCACCGGCTTATGGAGATTATTGCATGACCACAAGCAGGATAATTCCTAATGCCTCGGGCCAACTGTGATGGCGAAGGTATCATTTAAGAGATGTATCCAAATGGCCTCCAAGCATGTGACATGTTCCTCTGTGCCCTTTGCACACGAGACCAGTGAGGATAAAGCATAGTTTGTGTGGCTTGTGTAACAGAGCAGAGAGACAGCAGATGCACCAGGTTTGAGAAGGACCTGCACCAGCAAACAGCCGGCATGCTTTCTGCCAATGCAGGGGCGCTCCTGTGCTCTGTCCTATTTATCCCTTTGGATGGCTGTCCCTCAGACAGACCTGAGACTACTGCCAAGACTTACGGGCAACCCCCAGGGACTCAACTCATGAGAACAACAGACATTAATTTTCAGGACCCATACTGGGTGGCTAAGTGGAAAAAATTGAGTTTTCAAGCTGAGTTTCAAGAGAGCATAAAGTCACTCTGCACCACTGTGATACGGTCACCGTGGAGGACGCAATTATTTGAATGTACGACTTGTGCAGAGGAGCCTCTACCTCATGCACACAGTGTGCTCTGACTAAAAAGCACTCGGGTCAGAGAGCCGTGCTGCTGGGGAGGCCGCTAGTGGGGACAGCGACAAGGAGCAGCCTGGATGGCCCAGCACAGGGCCGCCAGGCACCCTAATGCTGCAGTAAGGCTGGGCTTTGGTGTCCGGAGTCAGCAAGGGGTGCCTTATCTCACTGCTGGGGCACCTAGACATAGCACCAAAACCAACTTTTAGAAATAAAGATAACTGCTAATTATCTCAGTGAGTAACTGGGAGAGGAGAAGACTCAGAGGGTGTACCTCACATCCTGCGCCCCGGACACTCCCACAGCCCACGGAGAGGCAGCAGCATCGCACGTGCCCAGAGGAGGAACATGAGGTCCAGACAGGCCAGAGGCTCTTGTCCAAGGTCAGTCCCAGGGTGAGCACTGGGTTAGGGCTCGCCTGGGTCTCCGGTCTGACTCTAATCCTTTGCACTTTCCCTATGTCATGCTACCTTCCTCTGGACCAACAGCTTTTTAAAAAGTAAATACATTGCTCAAAACTGGAGCGTGAATTTTAAAGGATGAGGGATGCCACCCACTCTTTCCTGGTCCCCCAGGGCCAGGACCGGAGGCTGCAGGAAGGGCTCTCGTGCACCTGTTGTAGCGGCCTCCTCTACTCAGCAGGGAGCAGGGGAAAGGACAGACTTCTGAAAGAAAAACCCCTGGGGTGAGCACGTCCCCAAACTCACCGTTCTGGGTAAGCTTGGTGGAACACACGAGAGTGGAGATCTGGAAGGAATCTTTGCTGATGGTGCAGCTCCCGAGACTCTGCATGCTCTTCCCCATCGCCAGGTGCCCCTTTTCCTCTAACTCTGCTTTCGTGGACGGCAGGCTCAGGTACGTCCCGGCATCTTCCAGCTTCCTCGCTTCGGCCTGGGGGTTTAATCACGCAACATGTCAAACATTATTCACAGCCAGGGACACACAACTTTTTCCTATCCCTTATCATCCTTAATCCTTTCAACTATCCCAGTATTTGTTCTTTATCATTTCCTAGGCTATTTTAATGATTTCCCTTATTCCTGTAGGTTAATTGGTGCTAACGGAACATTTCTTACACAGTATCTAAAGTGTTACTGTGTATCATCATCTCTCTGTAGAACAGCAAATGGACGGCTCACCAGCTGTCCATCTGCATAACCAAATTGCTAGACAGCAGCCTTCCCACCAGCAAAATGCACACACACCTTATAGACGATCAGATCGTGCTCTCCGTCCCTCAAAGTGGTCCCGTCATATCTCATCAGTTTTACAAATGCTAGTGCAAATATCTTCTCAGATTTATCCTTGGCTGCAACAGAAACCAATGATCGTCTTTAATGTCCGTCGTAACAAAATAACATCATGAAGTGCTACAAGAGCTGCCATTACGAAAAAAATCACAACTGTGGTGACTGATGTTAAAATACATGTAAATAAATGGAGAAACGGGCGATGTTCACCATTAGCAAGAGTCTTCTCATAAGGAATCAGCTGTGTTCCCATTAATCTGTAAATTCAAAGGGATTTCAATTAAATCTCATGGAAGGGTTTCCTCATGGAACTTACAAACTGATTCTAAACCAAGGAGAAGCAGGACGATTTTAAGAACATGGAGGAACACCTGAAATCCTAGAAGCCAAGAGTAACCGCAGAGCGGCCATAGTGAAGACGGTGTGGTTTGACGCAGGGACACACAGACCGTGAGGACCAGCAGGCCCTGAACACAGGCAGGCTCAGGACACTGGCCATCAATATGCAAAACAAAACAGACAGACTCCCACCTCCTACATCACTAGTATCAACTACAGGGGGACTACAGACCTGACCATGACCTCTGGCAAGGTACCCGCTCCCCTCAGCCATCTGCACGTGAGACACGGTGCCTCACTTCACTCCTGCTTCTGCTGAAGGGTCACCTGCTCTGGGAGGCCAGCCTGTCTGAAACAGTGAATCAGTGACCTGGTCACATGCTTTCCCTCCCGACTCCCTTTTCCTCACGATTGCTATGGACTGTACTGTGCCCCCAACATTCTTGCTGAAGCCCGCACCCCCAGGAGACTGTTTTGGGGATAAAACCCAAAAGGCAGGGCTTAGTTAAATGAGCTCATCCAGGTGGAGCCCTGAGCCCCACAGAACCAGGGCCCTTGCAAGAGGGGACACCAGAGCTGCCCCCCCTCCGGAAGCGTTCACAGCAGGAAGGCAACCGTCGGCAACACGCAGGAGGCCTTCCCCAGAACTGCCGTGCTGGCGCCCTGACCTTAGGCTTCCAGGCTCCAGAACTGTGGAAAAAACTGTGCTATTTCAGTGCCCAGTCTGTGGTATTTCATTACAGCAGCCCGAGCCGACTCTGACACAGTCCTGGTCACTACCAGGCCACCAGATGCGTCAGCGTGTGTGTGTAAGCACGTTGTTGTTTACTGTTACTTCCATTCACTGCACTTTGACATGCAAGAGACATTGTGTGTTTTGTCATCGCAATTTTCCCAGCGCATGAAATAGTGGCTGCCACACAGGAGGAATTCAGTAAGTATTTATTCTAGCTGGGGAGACGACAATAAACAAGTTCGGTAGATGACAAAGCAACAGAACTTGGTGACCTGTTATAGACTGGCGGTGGGAACAGGGCTGACCCAGCCAGATGCTGGAAACGGCCTCTCTGAGAAGATGCATGGCACACAAGCTTAGGTATAAACCTTCCAGAAAAAGTGATGGCCAAACGCAGAGGCATGGATGCAGAGATGGGCATGGCCCGTTTGGGGACAGGAAGCCAGTGTAGCTGGTGTGCAGCAAGCAGCAAGGGCCCCGGGTCGGGTAGAGAGGGATCTGGGGTCTGAACAGAACAAACAGACTCACCATGAATCCCTCAAGAGGCATCTGAGTGTGGCAGGGAAACACCGAGTCCCAGAGCTAGAAAGCATCTTTAGAACTGCATATCCCAGACTCTCTTCTTAGGTGGAAGGGCAGAGGTCTAACAGGGAAGGAGCACACATCCACCCTCCTTGAGTCAGAGGCTCAAAATACTTCCACGAAGGCACGGTGCATGAGGAATGTGTCTCAGTAACCTTCACAGTGCCAGTGTCCATAAGTCTCTGGCACACAGTAGGTGTTCAATCAAAGACAGCTGACTAAAAGGATGAAAACTAACCAACCAAAAACAATGGGAGGGATGAAGTAAAAGATTAAGAGCCCTAGGAATTGATAAATATGCACAAGGGTACTAGACATAAAATAGTTCAACGTTCAGGTGAGAAAGAACAGATGCTTCTAAGTTTGGGCTGACGTGAAAAAAAACAGAGATTTGCCTCTGTGAAAGCAGTCGTGGCTCCAAAGGACACGGGAGCGTACCTGCCAGCAGACGGCTACCCTGATCCTACTATTAAGTAGCACAAAATAAAACTGTGCCTTTTATTAACATTCTACAGCTTCACCTCAAAGGGATGAACTGCATTTCATGCTCATTAGCGCCATGACGAGGCAGACAAGACACAAAACGTCAGGGGCCACACGACGCAAGGCTGCCCACCCAACCAGGCCCCTACAAACAGGGGAGGCTCAGCTCCTGGAGGCTGGACTCGGGAGCATACATCTTCTCTCATCATGTGAAACACAAGCTGATGCACCTAGAATTGCTAACAAGTTGCAGGAGTGTGTTAGGCACATCGGCATTCAACTTTGCGACCAAGGACAGATCCCAGCATGAGAAACCCCATCACCGGTTCCCTGAGCTCACCCACCCTTTAGGGGTAAGCAGCTTGGACCTCACTCGGGGGACGTGCAGTGTTACAACGTGGCCTCAGTTCTTTCTGCTTCTGACCCAGAGAGTCTGCAGACAGGGCCATATGGAGAGGCCCCCGTGGCCACTTGCCATTCCAGCGGCGGGCAGCCCAGGATTTCATCAGCATCACATTTTCAATGCTCAACACGTTTCCAAAACCCCACAAGCTGTGGCCAGGGAGACTTCATTAATTATGCAAATGTGTCGTGGTATGTTGGGTGATAGCATCTTGTCTGTAATGAGTACTTAAAATTGACAAGAAAAACAAGGATTTGAAAATTAAAATGCTACCAAAGATATCCCTCTGCCCTAGTGTAATTTATTAATTAGAGAGAATGAGATTGCAGTGAACGGAGAGCTTGCTTTAGAGACGAGTCCTCTGTGGATTCTAGACTTTGTCCTTGCCCTCCGGCAGGGTGCCCCGCCATCTCCCCAGCACCCCACTTGGCAGAGCTCCGGCCTACTCCCAGGCCCTGCCATTTCACCAACCTAGGACACCAAGCACCATGCCGCTGCCACGGTGCCCCCCATTCACACACGCCCCTAATCCATGCGATGCTCCCAGGCTGCCACTCTCTACTTGGTCCTTGCAAGCGGACCTCATACCTCAATTCAAACCTAAGCTCTGCAAGAAGAGCCCCCTCTCCGTGAGCGGTGTACCCAGCAGGTGCTAAATAAAGACCAGAGGACAGAACTGGCCTTGCTACACGCCAGAGGCGTGGGAGTACGACACTCAGACCCAAGGAATGGGGTTTGGACCAGAGCTCTTCCACTCACTAATCAGGTGACTCTGGTCTACTCTGGTGGGTCTCTGGGCCTCAGTGTCCCCATGTGTAATATAGAAAGTGATGACATACTGATACCACACGGGGTGTTGTGAGAACTAATTAAAATAATACCCTAAAAATACTTGTGCCAGGAGCACAGTACGAGTGTACAGAATGGGTTAGTTAATGTTTATTAAATTGTTCTTATCCACAAGTTTCTGCATCAACACAGCCATGCACAGTCAGCAAGACCTGGCCCGCCTGGTGGCCTGTGTTCTGCCCTAAGGCGAGTGTGCAATGCACGCTGCTTCCCAAGCTGCCCTCCTTTATGCACCAGCGTCTCCTATTCTACTTGAACCCTGACCCCTTTTAGCTATATCCTAGCTCTACTTAAACCCTGGGACTGGGACAGGTCAAGGGGCGAAATGGCTCTGTGTCCTCCCGCCCCCTCTACCTCACACACCCACCGGACCCCGTGCTGGTCTTCACCCCTTGTTCAACCACCTCCCTAGCCTCATCCCACCGCGTGTACATCCTGGGGCTGATATCCACGCTCTCCGCACGCCAGCCCTGCAGACCTCCCGTGCCACGCCTGCCCACACCTCTGAGCACCAGTGCGGCCCAGGCTCCTCGCTGGCCCAGAAAGGGGTGCACAGCCCCCAACCTCAAGCCTCTGCTCCCATGTTCACTCTCCCAGGCTGCTCTCCTTCACCCCCACCTCTGCAGACCCCACACCTCAGGAAGGGGGGGGGGCGGGTCCAGGCGAGACACGCCTACAGACACAGTAAGAAGGATGAACACATTGCCATCCTCTACAGGGTCCCTACTCTATGCCAGTCATCACACTGAAGGGGGTCAGCAGCCTCCGTCTTGCTTGGTCATCAAGACCCGGCTTCTCATGCCCAGGCGGAAGCACCCGTGATGACATGGCACCCAGAGCCCAGGCAGAGAACCCCGACCCGAGAGGCCCTTGCCCCCACAGGGTCAGTGGTGACAGACACAGCCTCCAGGGCCACCCTTCCCTTCAAAGCCACAGCTTACACAACTGTAGCCAATTCTCAGTCATGTATTTTCCCAAATCTTAGCCCACTGCCAAGTGGGTACAGACTACCAAAGGTGCATCTCCCTTTTGTGATATCTTATTTGGTTTCTAGCACAGAGCCAAATCCCTAGTAGACAACTAATTCAGCAAACATGGTAAGACAAACTTCAGTCACTGAGGACAGATTCCTTGGGAAGGCAAGTGATTCCAACACCTGTTTTTCCTCCCAAGCTCAATGCTGTACCAACATCTCCGAGAAGAAAAGCTCTGTCTGACTCCAGACACCAGGGGCCACCCAGAAAGAAAAAAAGGGTCTCGAGGTCTTCAATGCCAACATAAAAAGCATTAAGAGCCAATTTTTTTTTTGGAATCTACATGCTGTACCTCAGTGACTTTTCCGACAGATGGAATGGCATTACAAGTCAAAACGGAGACCCAAAGGATGGACAGCAAGTCGCAACAGGGAAAAGGGAGAAGGAAAATGTAGGTCTCCTGTGCCTGGTTCAATGAGAAGTCGACGACATTTCCCAGGAACAGGTTAGTGTGGGAAATAAGCTGAAGCATCAAGATCTCAAAGTGTTACGATAACCAAGTTCTAGAACATTCTAGAACATTCTAGAACAACAGAACAAGAGCAGCTTATTGAAATTTTCCCCTAGTTGTCCCTTGAAAACAACATGGGATAAGAAAGTGATTACTCACAGTCCTGTGATGATCTGTGACGGAAGGTAAACCGAAGGTGACTGCGGTTAACATCCTCAATGGGAATGGCCACCTGCAGAATTGAAAAAGGAATTCTAAGCACCTCTTCCAACATCTTCTCACGTGAACGGCTTTACTCAGCTGTAGGTGTCCTATACAACTGTACACATTTCCACAAGGCAGGGGAGAAAAGACTGCATACCTAATCCCTTACCTGATTTTCCCCAAGCCCCAAAAAATGCCTTTTGAAAACATAAACAAGATCACATTCTAAAGGACACCAAGCAGGCTCTGTGAGACAGTTGAAGTTTTCTTAAACATTCTGATCCTCACTGTTAAAATTCCATTTTTTAAAGTTGCTGTTTTCATTTTTAGCCCTTCTCAGAGGTATCAATATTCCCTGGGCTGCTGCAGGGACCTGCCCCAGCTGCAGGGAAGACAGCTTTTTTGTTGTGACTTACAGAAAAAGAAAAAAGACCTAATACATGCTGCCTTTAAGCAAAGATTGTCCCTAATCCTCACATCTAACATCTGTACTCTGGAGCCAACCCTGGCCTCGTTTTCAAGTATTAGAATCCTTGGCATTTAGGCTGGTGTTTACCACAGTGGGCTACAGCGGTGATGTCAGCACGCCGCTCTGAGATGCAGAGTCAGTGCCACGGAAATGGGGTCCGTCTCGCCAGCAACAGCCCCCATATACTGTCATCTCTCTTTCTTTCCACTTGGTGTACAGATAGCAGGCCACACGTAAAACAGATCCAAGAACAGAACGATAATCACTGTCTTTAAAGGACTCTGTCATTTGTCTCCATGAACGTCCTATTTTTATGTCCAAACGGAGCTGAGAGTAAATGTATTCCAAGAAATGCCAGCATGGTTCCTTAGCAACCTTGAACGGCTCTGCTGGGAGAGCTCCTGTGCCTGTACAGGGTACCCACCAGCAAGCAGACCCTGAGTTGGGTGGGAGGTGGGGACCTCCTTGGGATACAAATGAGCATTTCCTAATCAATCCCATGGGATAAAATGGCTACGTAAATGATACCTTAACGGTCTCAAACCAGCGTGGCTGTTTTACTTGGTAGTAAATCACGGACTTGTACTCTGAAATCGCTTCATCACCAGCACCCGGGAAAATCACGTGCTTTAAAAGAAGGCATAAAGAGTTCACGTCAGAGCTCACGGAGCTTGACACTGTACCCATCTCCTCACCTCCCACCTCCGGGAAACGGGCCCGTAGGCGAAGGCAGGGCGCTCCACGAATGCCAACAGAGGCCAGCACAGATGAGCACACTCCCAGCAGTGGGAGGACAGATCCATCCGGAGCCGGCAGCTGGCATAATAACCTTGCTGTTGGACTCGTGATATCTTGATTGTATTGAGGCAGGGGTGCTACGGCCCTCCATCCTTCACCCCCTCACCCCCAATAACTATAACATCAGGATGTGCAAAAAGCTGCTGCTTCACTCGGTAGGTCCAGGACAAAGGGTTACAGACCAGCAACGGAGGTGGCCACACGCCTTCAGTTCCTCCAGCCATAAACACTGACCTCTCAACTCCAGTGGAGCTGATACTGGGAAAGCCCAAGTGCCAAGGACAGCATGGCCCAGCAGTGACACCAGACGTGGGCCACCCCGAAAGGACACCACCCACCTCCTGGCACAGCTGAGCCTCATGTACCCACACAGGTATTGCTCTCAGCCACATGGGCCCAGGGAAGCTCAGCCTTCCAACCACGGACCAGAGAGGCAGCTGTCAGAGACACCTGCTCTGGATTGGCCACCGGTTATCAGGAGGCCACTGCCTCTGGGCACTTCCCAAGACACAACCCGTCCTGCAGGCTGCCATGACCATGCAGGATGAGGTCTTGGTAACCACCACCCAGGAGAGCATGAGAGGAGATGCCCAGATTCAAACCCCAGATCCACCTGTCACCTGACCCTGAGCAAGTGTCCTCATCTCCCACACGGTGATCATACGGTATCTGAACTGGTAGTGTAATTGCTAGACCTTTGAGCCTCAGGTGCATGCCAGCAGGTGAGAAGCCGTAACAGGGTTGGGTAAAGAAGGTGGTCGGGACCACAGGGATCTCCTGACGCAGGCTGGCTGCCCAGACCCAGCAGACACAAGCCCTCTAAGGCAAACTGGAGAACGGAAAAAAAGGGTAAACACCCAGCCCTAGAAACAGGTCCACACAGCCCCACACGTGTCCTTCGGCATTTTGTCGCAGAGCCAAGGTAAACACTCAGAAAGTAAAGCTTAACCACCACAGGTTCAACTTTGCAATGATAAATACCTCCAGTCGTTTTCCATCTTCGTCATACACCGACACTGTGACCTCAACATTCTTCGCTGTGGTTTTGCTTCCTTTATCAAAATCTCCTTGAACTAATGTTACATAGATATCATTTCGAACATCACCTGGGGAGGGGGGGAAATTATACCTGTAAAACTAATCCACTATTCACAGCATTAACCATGAATTCTACAAAACCGTCTAATCCACACTCTTCCATAGCAGTGTATTACAAATATTGTATTAGATGATTATGAAATATTTTGCACAAAATAACATCAGCATTTAAAGACACGACAAAAGCAGTTTTCAGCAGCAGCCTCAGACTTGTGAGGAAGAGGACAATTTTTCAAGGCCCTTCATTATCGGCTTGGTCCCTCTCCTCTGTGGGCAGCCCGAGCCCGGAGCGGCTGGAACGCTATCGATGGGTTTTCAATGACGCATCCCCCCTCTAGTGTCCACAGCCTACTGAGGCTCCTGTCACCATCCCTTGTTGGATGCTGGCTGTGGGCATATGTGTCTGGGCAGACAAAGAGTATCACAACACCAACTGGCACACTGAGATGACAACTGGCAATGTTGACCTCCTCTGCGTTCTTCTAAGGAGCTGAATGAAAAAGAAAACTGGTTAAGAATTAGAACCACAAGCCAATGTCCTGAGTTGATGCCTGGGATCAGACGCGGGATGGGTCAAGAGAGAAGCTTTCTGCATGGATCTTCTCTCCCCTTGCCAAGCAGCTATGCCGGTTCCTGAATGGGGACCCCAGGGAGCAAGACAACAAGGCAGACCTCTGCATTTTGAAGTGAGGTGAGCCTGCATTTGTGCAAAAAAAAAAAATCAAACCTGAAAACAAAAAGCCCCCCACCAACAACAGATGAGCTCAGCACATTTCTTCCCACTGAGAAGAGAAGGGCCCTCTGGTAACAGCCCGACGGGAAAACCTCGCCAGCTTCATGAGCAACGTGCCGCCCGCAGAGCGAGCACCACCACGCAGAGCTGCTCCTCGGCCACCCATGCATGACCCACCTGCCCACCCAGGGGCTCCAAGGAGCATCTCTGTCAAGAGCAGGTGGCCCGTTCTGGGCAAAGAACAAGGATCCCTTAAGGAAAAGGCCCCCTTGCTTTACTGTTTTTTTCTTTTGCCTTTTTTACTGCTCTACTTTGGCTTTTCATGTACCCAACTAGTAAATTACACTTTCATTTAAAAGTCATTATTACAATAATCCCAGTGGGCTGCTACCACAGCCAAAGGAGCTGCTGCAGGAAGACATATGACTACACCAGTGACACAGACCATGGCACAAGTGAGGGATGATGGAGTTCAAGGAGCTCCGGCTGGAGCTCGGGCTGGAGGCCGGGCTGCCAGTCCAGGACCTGCCACTAATTAGCTGTGTGACCTCGGACATGTCACTTAACCTCTCTGGCCACCCACCACTGAATAGCCTCATCGATAAGGCAAAGCAATCTCATGACCTCTCAGCCTGGAAATTTTATCAAAGCACAAAAGCCATAATCAAAAAGGGCTACAAGAAATTCAGAAAGGCCTCATCAGCCAGAGAACCCCCATTTGTGTGCTGGGGGCAGGGAGGCAGTGAACCTCAGGGTCTCACTCTCCTGCTGGCCTAGGGATCCATCCTCTAGAGCAGGCCCAGAAAGGGGAGCCTGTTTATAACAGGTAACCCCACAGATGGGCACTCACAAGAGGCCCTTGGCAAATGCCTGCCGGACTACAGGGTGCACACTGGGAGGAAGGAACTGCAAGCAGGCATGGGTGGATTCAAAGAGAACCTTCCCTTCACTTCCTCCAAGCCTCCAGCCACCTTCCCAGCTCAGGGCAAAACTCCTTTCCCACCAAGATCCTTCAGAAGAACCCTGGGATTTCCAGGAAGTCATGGGAACACAGAAGGGCCAGTGACCAGGATGATCAGAGGCTGTTCCACTGTGTGGTGGAGATGCACGTCGCTGTAAGTCACACCTGACAAGATGGAATGACGTACACGTTCTACTGGGCTAAAAGCCAGGGGTCTGAGTGAAAACCCCCACACTGTCTCTCCCCCGAGGGTAAGGAGCGACCCCACACAGCCTGTCAGTGATTCTAAGGGAACACGGGTGACTCACTCCAGCTGGAATCCCTCACCCCGAGAACCCCTACTCCCAGCTTATTACACAGAACTTGCCACAACAATGGTCAGCTGTATAGTTTCCCCGGGAATCTATTATGAGATGAACATAGAGGTTTGGACTTAACTTTTTAAGTCTGTCAGTTACAAAGGAAAACACAACCAGTGTGAACTTCAAGTTTTCTGGGTCTCCCTTCAAACATGAGGATACCCTAAGGCCACCTGACCTAAAGGCATGTTGAGTATGTCATGATATCATCCTTATCTGCAAATTTGCATCTAAATTCCAAATGCAAACAATACATCCACAAAGAAGTCCAAAGTCATTTGCTGCAGAGACTTGACTCATACAAGCTGTAATGTTCCATAGTTTTGTAACTCTGAATGTCATGCTTTCTTCCTGTGGAGGCAGGTGAGCCATGATCAGTCTAACCAATTTAAGTGTCTTTCATATCTATCTCCCAGGAGAGTTATACAATGACCCAGAGTAGCTCTAAGAGAGTAGAAAGAACATGTCCCTAATGACCCTAAAATGAACAAAGCGGTAACTCTGAGGGCACACACACTGAGTAGATACCTCTCCCTCCACGTATGCAGTAGGCCTATAAAAGGAGGCCACAGGGAATCTTCAACTGTGAGGTGTTTGGCCCCATTTCCACTCTCATTAGCCATTTGACTTAAGGCTGTGGCTTAATCTTGATGGAAATTAATTCAACACCAATCTGTAGCCTTCTAAGATCCTTAGGTGGATCAAGCCAGATTATTAATGTCAGCATTATTTGCAAATCAGAAAGAATCCCATGGATACAAAGGATAAATATTAATACGCTTCCCAAGATCTTGTGAGGATAATAATATGAATGTTATTTGCGAGCTAAAAAGTATTATGTAAATATAAGAGATTAATCGTAACATGGAATTCTGTTATTGGTTTAATAAGCTTCAAATCCATTATTGGGCCTGAGCAACACTAGTGTGATAATTAATATGAACTCAGCAGGTATCAGGTGTAAATATTCACTTTCTGCTCCTCCTTCCTTCTTTTGATCGTATATCTGTCCAGACATCTGCACGGTGTCCATGTCTCTCTCATGCAACCCTTGCATTCTGAAGGAGCTGACTCCGCCCAGAGGTCCAGGTGGCCAATGTTCCCATTCCACCACCCACCATCACTGTCCAGGGCCCAGGGGGACTGAGCAGTCCAGGCACAATGACCTCACTTGGAAACGCTGGGTCACAAGCCTGCCGTCTTCTTCAGGTCATTGAGATTTGGGAAGAAGATGGGAGCCGGCAGGGCCTGTTACAGAGGATGAGGTCAGTATGCAAAGGAGACGTGTCAGCAGAGAGAGCTGCAGGGCACCAGAGCCGGTGTGGGCCAGGCGGACCAGGAAGTGTGCTCCGACTCTGCTCCTCAGCTGGGTGAGCCGATAAATATCCTCACAGTTCAACCCTTTCGACTGGCCTCGTGTTTTCTGTAATTTACATGCTAAAGCCTCCTAACTCCAACCAGCCCTATAGGCAGGGATTCTTATTATTCTCATTCTTCAGATGAGGAAACCACAGCTAAGAGTAAATCTTGGTAAGTTGACCAAGGCAACTGAGCCAGGGAGGAGCAGAGGTTAAGACACAAAGCCAGGCACCACCATAGGCCAGGTCCTGCGCTCTCAGTTCTAGAGCCAAAGGTCCGAGGCTGTGGACCACTGTGGTCCCATAACCTACCCAGAGGGCCTCTTCTCAAAGCCTGGAACATAAGAAGGTCAGTTTTTTCCTAAACTGTGCCTCCTTCACTTTGAACACGTTCTGGTTGATTCAAATACTTGTTACAGGTTCACGACATCCCTCTGCAGGAATGAACCAGAACCACACTGGGCCTACACATCACCTACCACATGCTCAGCCCTCTGGCTTGCCAGAGCTCCTACGCGTCACTGCCCACACGCCACTCTTTGTGACCAGTTACATGAACCCCAAATGCTGGCTACATCCACACCACACTCACAAGTGCTACAGGAATCAGTTCTTACCAGGCATGATTATCTCCGGAAACCCCGTTTTCCGAGCCACAGCTGTGGTCCTGTCCACTAAATGAGGAAACTCTTTTCTAATTTGATGGATATCTCCAGGAAGCAATTTCAATGTTACCCACAAACCTAGAAAAACAATGGATGCAGGAGTCACATTTTATCTCGTACATTTTAAAAAGAATTCATGAAACCAATGCAATGAGTGAGCAACTTTAAATTCACAACTGGACATCTTAAGAAAATACGTGGATGTATGAGAAAGAGCAAGAGAGGACCCGGAAAAAGGAGCCCGGGCACAGGGGCATCACCTGCGTCTGTAGCCACGATACCCATCCTGCCCCGGAGGTGCTGACGGCAGGTGAGTGCACACTGACAGCACTCGTGTCCCACATCTGTCTGCGACCAGTGACTCAATTTTGAGTTGATATATATTTAAGATGAATCAGAAGGTAGCATTTTTCTGGGAGTGCATCAAGAAAGCTATCATTTTCCATTCTCCCAGGAAGAATGACAGCAGAGGAGGACTCAAGAGATAAATTCACAGCTCCACTAACCCAAGAAGGTTTCAAATTGCTAAGCAGCACCCACACTCTCCAGAAGGTGGGCAGCAAAGCCCTGGGCCAGGGGCCAGTGGACCAGCCCACAGGAGGGGGTGGCCGCAGCCGGGCAGCCAGAGCCCTCTGTTTCACAACGTCACAGTCACGGCAAAGGAGCAACAAATGCTTTGGCCCTCACTCGGCTCTTTCCTCCAAGGGGTAAAATGGAGACTTTCAAACCCTCTAAGCAAGATGGCGAGGGGGCCCCCCCGGAGAGGGAACGTGAACTGACCGCCTCCAGAGAGCTGAGTGAGCCGCACCCTCCCCCCTTCCCCTCCACGAAGCTGATAGAGGATCACAGTTTGTCTAAAACTCCTGAGCAGCAATCAAACAGGAGGCAATGGCAAATGGGAACAAAGCAACACTTTTCACAAAATCAAAGGCAGGAGACAGCACCCTGCTTGGCTCTCTCCGCCAAGGTCAAGGACGGCGCCTTTCTCCCAGGTGGGAGGGGAGGCTGCCCCCATCAGCTGGCACACCCAGGTCTCCGTCTCTGAGACCCTGAGGGTCTGGCCTGCTGCACCCTGGCCGCTCAGCTACAGAGAACCCCATGCGCCTATCAGAGAATGAAGGTATCTGTCCTCACACTACTAGTGCGTGTGTGTGTGTGTGTGTGTGTGTGTGTGTGTGTGTGTGTTTTCTCTGTCTTTCCTTTTATATATTTTCCTTTTCCTTTCTATAATTTGACTTAAGGCTGTGGCTTAATCTTGATGGAAATTAATTCAACACCAATCTGTAGCCTTCTAAGATCCTTAGGTGGATCAAGCCAGATTATTAATGTCAGCATTATTTGCAAATCAGAAAGAATCCCATGGATACAAAGGATAAATATTAATATGCTTCCCAAGATCTTGTGAGGATAATAATATGAATGTTATTTGCGAGCTAAAAAGTATTATGTAAATATAAGAGATTAATCGTAACATGGAATTCTGTTATTGGTTTAATAAGCTTCAAATCCATTATTGGGCCTGAGCAACACTAGTGTGATAATTAATATGAACTCAGCAGGTATCAGGTGTAAATATTCACTTTCTGCTCCTCCTTCCTTCTTTTGATCGTATATCTGTCCAGACATCTGCACGGTGTCCATGTCTCTCTCATGCAACCCTTGCATTCTGAAGGAGCTGACTCCGCCCAGAGGTCCAGGTGGCCAATGTTCCCATTCCACCACCCACCATCACTGTCCAGGGCCCAGGGGGACTGAGCAGTCCAGGCACAATGACCTCACTTGGAAACGCTGGGTCACAAGCCTGCCGTCTTCTTCAGGTCATTGAGATTTGGGAAGAAGATGGGAGCCGGCAGGGCCTGTTACAGAGGATGAGGTCAGTATGCAAAGGAGACGTGTCAGCAGAGAGAGCTGCAGGGCACCAGAGCCGGTGTGGGCCAGGCGGACCAGGAAGTGTGCTTCGACTCTGCTCCTCAGCTGGGTGAGCCGATAAATATCCTCACAGTTCAACCCTTTCGACTGGCCTCATGTTTTCTGTAATTTACATGCTAAAGCCTCCTAACTCCAACCAGCCCTATAGGCAGGGATTCTTATTATTCTCATTCTTCAGATGAGGAAACCACAGCTAAGAGTAAATCTTGGTAAGTTGACCAAGGCAACTGAGCCAGGGAGGAGCAGAGGTTAAGACACAAAGCCAGGCACCACCACAGGCCAGGTCCTGCGCTCTCAGTTCTAGAGCCAAAGGTCCGAGGCTGTGGACCACTGTGGTCCCATAACCTACCCAGAGGGCCTCTTCTCAAAGCCTGGAACATAAGAAGGTCAGTTTTTTCCTAAACTGTGCCTCCTTCACTTTGAACACGTTCTGGTTGATTCAAATACTTGTTACAGGTTCATGACATCCCTCTGCAGGAATGAACCAGAACCACACTGGGCCTACACATCACCTACCACATGCTCAGCCCTCTGGCTTGCCAGAGCTCCTACGCGTCACTGCCCACACGCCACTCTTTGTGACCAGTTACATGAACCCCAAATGCTGGCTACATCCACACCACACTCACAAGTGCTACAGGAATCAGTTCTTACCAGGCATGATTATCTCCGGAAACCCCGTTTTCCGAGCCACAGCTGTGGTCCTGTCCACTAAATGAGGAAACTCTTTTCTAATTTGATGGATATCTCCAGGAAGCAATTTCAATGTTACCCACAAACCTAGAAAAACAATGGATGCAGGAGTCACATTTTATCTCGTACATTTTAAAAAGAATTCATGAAACCAATGCAATGAGTGAGCAACTTTAAATTCACAACTGGACATCTTAAGAAAATACGTGGATGTATGAGAAAGAGCAAGAGAGGACCCGGAAAAAGGAGCCCGGGCACAGGGGCATCACCTGCGTCTGTAGCCACGATACCCATCCTGCCCCGGAGGTGCTGACGGCAGGTGAGTGCACACTGACAGCACTCGTGTCCCACATCTGTCTGGGACCAGTGACTCAATTTTGAGTTGATATATATTTAAGATGAATCAGAAGGTAGCATTTTTCTGGGAGTGCATCAAGAAAGCTATCATTTTCCATTCTCCCAGGAAGAATGACAGCAGAGGAGGACTCAAGAGATAAATTCACAGCTCCACTAACCCAAGAAGGTTTCAAATTGCTAAGCAGCACCCACACTCTCCAGAAGGTGGGCAGCAAAGCCCTGGGCCAGGGGCCAGTGGACCAGCCCACAGGAGGGGGTGGCCGCAGCCGGGCAGCCAGAGCCCTCTGTTTCACAACGTCACAGTCACGGCAAAGGAGCAACAAATGCTTTGGCCCTCACTCGGCTCTTTCCTCCAAGGGGTAAAATGGAGACTTTCAAACCCTCTAAGCAAGATGGCGAGGGGGCCCCCCCGGAGAGGGAACGTGAACTGACCGCCTCCAGAGAGCTGAGTGAGCCGCACCCTCCCCCCTTCCCCTCCACGAAGCTGATAGAGGATCACAGTTTGTCTAAAACTCCTGAGCAGCAATCAAACAGGAGGCAATGGCAAATGGGAACAAAGCGACACTTTTCACAAAATCAAAGGCAGGAGACAGCACCTGCTTGGCTCTCTCCGCCAAGGTCAAGGACGGCGCCTTTCTCCCAGGTGGGAGGGGAGGCTGCTGCCATCAGCTGGCACACCCAGGTCTCCGTCTCTGAGACCCTGAGGGTCTGGCCTGCTGCACCCTGGCCGCTCAGCTACAGAGAACCCCATGCGCCTATCAGAGAATGAAGGTATCTGTCCTCACACTACTAGTGCGTGTGTGTGTGTGTGTGTGTGTGTGTGTGTGTGTGTGTGTTTTCTCTGTCTTTCCTTTTATATATTTTCCTTTTCCTTTCTATTTAAGATATAAAGCTCCAAATTATGAGGGCAGTTTCAAGGAGGAGAGAAGCATAACCAGGAAAAGGAGGTCCCTAAAAAGATGTCAGGGGGTGGCACGCACCCCAGGGCACATGCATCATTGCTCAGGCTGTGCACTGCACAGGCAACTGGGGCAGAAAGGCAGTTGGGAACCAATCCTAGCCCACACGCTGCTCACCAAGCCATGTGCCCTGGCACTGGCTGCACCTCCCTACTCACCCAGAGGACAGCCCAGCTTTCCTAATTCACACAAAAGCACAACAGGCTGGTACAACTTCAGCCCTGAAGGACTGTGAGCCGACAGACCCCTGAAGGGCCGGGCACCTGACTCCTGGCTCTGTCCTCCCAGAGAGCAAACCAAGTGAAAGGGGCCCTCACAGAACTGCAAAGGACTTGACTGCTGACGTTGACATGGTCCTGGTCCCTGCTGGGGACACCAGGATGCAGTTAAAGGTCTCTCAAATCTTAGGAGTGCGTCCCAAGACCTCCCAAAGGAATGTCTCCAGGCCCAATCTAACTCGGAGATGTTTTTCGAGGACTTGCAAGATGTGGTGAGGTAATTTATTTACAGAGGTCGAAGGTAAAGAAACCTTTGGTAACATCATTCTAAAACCCTGTCTTCCTCACAAATACCAGCTTGCTCAACTATCTTGGTTCAGAAACTAGTGACTCGACACAATTCAATTTGTTAAAACACAATTTAAACAGAGAGATCAGATTTTCCTGATTACGCTGAATTTAAAACACTTTCCTCACAGAAGAAAATGAGGCCAATTTTCAAAGAAAACATGCATTTTAGGTTGAGTTTGGCTTAACCAGGATTACTAAAAAGAAAAGGAACGGCATCCATTATATCCCGAACAATAGGAGCAGATGTCTGGGGGTGTTTGAGGATTCACTGTCCACATAAAACACCCAGCGCCTCTGAGTTTAAGGTTCAGAATAATCTGGACTGACTATAAAAGCTGTTGTCACCTCCGATAAGTAAACACATTGATGTAAACAAAACAGGCTAAAGTCTGGCGATGAGCTCAGAAGACAGGCACATGCGCAGAGGAGCTGAGAAACTCACTGGTGCTTTGTGAGGACGGACGTCCTCGTCCCTCCCACCTCCCGGGCTGGTGACCGGGACTGTGTGGCATGCTCAGGGCAGGCTGGGTCACTGCTGATGGGAACTGGGGCTCAGCTGGCCAGGCCCCCTACCGTAGCAGCTGATTCTCCCAGGCTTCTCAGGGCCCCTGGAGTGCGCACACAGGGCAAAGGCCGAGCCCAGGAGAAAGGCTCCCTTCCGTGTAGAGGTGAAAGGGAGCCAGCCATGGTGCCCAAGGGCACTTCAGCTCAGGAAAGCCCCTGTGGTCCCCTTGGAAAACCAATGTTCTTGCCTCTCAGCTCTCAGGATGGACAGACCCCTCCTCCCCCTGGAGTGCATGCAACGGGGCCCCCAGCAGTGGCCCATGAGCCTCTGGTAACACAGATTCTGGCCACAATACCAGTGACAGAGCCACGCTTTGGGTCCTCTTTCCAAGTAATTTCCTGCTGGCTTGACACCAACCTCCACTTTCCTTGTGTGGCTCTGTAATAAAAATTTATCAAAACTGTGGTGACTCTGCAAGAGAAGTTAAGACCCACTGGGAGCCAGGGGCCCGGTGCTCCTCGCCCGGGAGAGGCTCCAGTCGGAAAGGCTTTAATTGGATCTCCCTGTGGTTTTCAATTAAAGTGCAAATTGGAGGCCAGTTAATTTATGAGAAGATCGGTCCTGGGTCAGCTTAAACTGCTCCGTTATATAGAGGCCACATTTCATTAATGCTTTGATCTGGGATTTTTGTTTTGCTTTCGTTTGCCAGGGAGGGGGGGTAGTTCACACCAAAGGAAACCAAACGTCCCTCATTCCTCCAGAACATTCTCCAGACTCAATTCACACTTTCCTTTAGAACAATGGGAAAACAAATCATAATCATTCTTTCTTAAAAGTTTAGTGACATACGGTAACGAGGCAATGAACTGAGTCTATGGTAAGGCTGCATCCAATCAAGGGCGGAGAAGTGATTTTCCCACGGGTGCTAAAAGCAGCCTAGGTAGGAGAAACTCTGAAGGTGACTCCCCTCGAGCTGGACGTGGAGCCTCCGTAAGCAGTTGTTTCCTGGCACCCCTCCTGGCCGCCCGAGGGCCAGCTGTCACCAGCCCAAGGTGATTGATTCATTGCCTCTCCCAGCAGAAGGTCGGCTGCTGGGAAACTTGTCAGCATGGGATTAAACACGATGAGGGCAAAACGGGCAGAGTCAGGGAGGAGAAATCTCTTCGATTACAGAACTGGAGAGAATTCATCTGCAAAAGGAAACCACTTTCTCAGGGGGACGAGGAGGGGAACCTTAGAGGACAACACGCAGTGATTAGCACGTGGTACAGACGAAGAAAAACAGAGAGAGGAGCTCAGGCAGAGGCGGGTCATGTTGAATGCCTCCGTGTTTCCCCCAACAGCAGGGGGCGCAGCGCCGGTGGGCAGGTACTGTGTTCTCGGGGGACGTCATCCAGGCGTCTTTACAAGCGGTTAGGATGAGAGCGGACGACTTAGAGTCTCAGGACGGCAAATCAACGCGCTGGTTCCAGGCTCATCAGCGGTGGCTCTTGCTAAGCGTCTACTTGTATCCCACTCAGCCTTCCCGGCCCATCCAGGAGGGTGGCTCACAGCAACATTTAACAGAGGTGATGCGCAAGGAAACCCCCATATGCTGTGCACCGGAGCCAAGTACGCACCACTTGTCCCCACTGCCATCATCACCACCACCACCCCCCCGATCGTCCTCCTCATCCCGTCACCATCACCATCATGACATCATCAAAATGAAATGCAGACCACATGGCATCGTCCCAAGTTCATGTAAGTGGACATGTATAGAAACAAAGCAATAGAATACATACCCTGGCCCTTGTGGTTGACTTCTTTGGCAGCAATGACTTTGTTTATAACAGTCTGAAGGAAGTCATTCTCCCCTGCCACCCTGGGTGAAAAACGGGATGACATGTTCAGCGGCTTGTGTCGAATGGCGTCATCCAACGCGAGCCTGGAGGGCATGGGACGACCAAGACCACAGGAGACAAAGGGGCACAGAGACCCAGAGGTCACGATAACAAGGGAACACAAGACAGCATCGTCACCAAATGCGAGAGAGTCATCATGAGTCAACGCACGACAAAGGACAGGATAGGTGACAAGAGAGACAGGGAAGAGCATTGATCAGGAAATGCTGAACCACACAAGGGAAGTAAAGCTGAGATCGACCCTCTCCCCAGGAAATAAACATGCACTGGGTCTCCACTCCACTGCCACTAGACAATAAGAAAATGGGGAGCTTATCTAAAAATAATGTGTTTGGACAGCATTTAACCCCAAGAATGTTTATGGCCATTTCTTCAAATTCAATGAATTCCTGACCATAATTTAGGTCACGGGGCAGGTGGTTTGAAAGGAAAAGCGAAATCAAGATGCCCCGCCAAAAAGAAAAAGAATCACTCCAATCTAATTGCCTGAGAAACTTGGGTGGTAAGCACTCTACTCCCATCAGTCTATTTACCCAAGGTAGCCCCAAACAATTAACTGTGAAAGAAAGAGCATAGTCTTCAGAAAACACAACTATCGTGTCTGAAAAGTGAAACTGTGACACAACTTTTAATGTAAACCACGTATATTTCAGGGGCGGCGGGGGCAGCGATCAGGGGTTTTTAATGGAAGCTTTACTAGGACTGAGAGAATAATTACAAACAGGCAAAGACAAATGCCATGGAGCATAGCAAAGAACAATATGCAACAAGCAAGAAAATGTACCTCATGTACATAATGTTCACAGTCGCTTCTAGAACCAGGGACAAGTATTATTCATCACTTGAGCCCACATTACTCAAGAGAGCAGAGGACTGTTTTAATTTACTGCATCAAGTTAAAAAAGACAGAGAGAGAGAGAGAAATGTACACCATGTTTCCTTTCCTAAAACTTACCCTCTGATAATAAATCAGTTTTAATGGAGCAAAAAACGGTTTCATTAGCCTAGAATTTCCCAAAGAACTGGTTTCACTGCTTATTTTGCTATTAAAATCATGCTGTTCTTTTATTTCTAGCACAAGAAATACTAATCCGTATATTAGTTTTCCTTTAATGCAGCAGAAATCACAAATCACATGAAGAGTTGAACATGTAATACCATTTTTTAAAGTGGATGTTTCACTACGAGACGGAAGAAGGCAGCAATGTGCCATCGCCACGAGCTGATAACATGTCCCAATGAAACTGAGATGGGTGAATCTAAAACCAACAGCCTCCCTAACTTTTCAAACTATAGCCCCAGTTTCTGTTTTTTTCCCTTGACTTTTCCCAGAAGACACTAGCAGGCAACAGGTAATTTCAACTTAGTGGTACATCTGGGCATTAAAAAACTGAGCTCAAATACCTAAAACAGCATTTGGCTGCACTACTTCTCATTGGCAAGAGAAACAACTTGATTATCACTATTTTATAAGGATGTATTTCATTTACTACCTCAATAGCCGCCCATGTTCAAACATGATGTTCCCCTTGATTCCTGAGGAAACTCCCAGATTCTGCAGAACTGTGTAACTATCTTCACTGGGTGTGATTCCAACACAGCACTGCTCAAAAGCACACTGTGTGATGACAGAAATGTTCTGTACCTGTGCTGAACAATATGGTAGCCACTAGCCACCTCTGGTACTGAACTTAAATGGGACGAGTACGAGTGAGGAACTAAATATTTAATTTTATTCAATTTTTGTTCATATAAATAGCCACATGGTTCTGGTGATTATGGTAACTGGACAGAAGAGTAAATGTAAAGCAATGAAGCCACAGAAGCTGCCTCCAGGTGTGTGCAGTGTGATACAGTGTAATCGAATGCTTTGTAGAAATTTCTGCTTTAGGATGTTATCTGATCTGATCACTAAAATCCACAAAAGAATTTCATTGCCACTTTAAACAAGTGGTTCTTAAGCCAGGAGCCAAGTCGGATGGTCTGCCGTGCAAGGTTACATGGCGTCAGGGGAAGCTGACCTCATGTCTCCTGCCCACCTCCCACCCCCCAGACAGGACCCCTGCAACCACCCACTGGGGACCTCCAGCCTCCAAACTCCTCAGCCAACACCTGAAAACCATGTAAAAATGTCTGGTATAACATTTTTTTCAAAGGAAACAGGTACATGAAAACAGATAAGGAGGAGGACAGAACAGGGCACCGTGACAGGTCACGCCAACTTGTCTCGGCATTTACTCTTCCTCTAAGGTTTCACACCCCCAGGGGGAAACTGTCTCTTTCGATTAACCTGAACCATTCTAATGCCTCTTTCTTTCTCTCCACCTCTGTCTGAGGCAGAGAAGTGCCTGAGAAGTGGCCATAGACTATTAGCTGAGTGCCTCTTGCTTTAATCCCCAAGAAAGTAAAACCAATTCTTTCAGCTTTTTCCAGGGAATCCACCTTCAAATCAGACAAACAGTGGAACAAATCATCTCCAAATGCTTTCCATTCCCACACCTCGCTACAGACTTCAGGTCAGAAACTAGACAAATCCTAAAAATATCAAGCATAGATAGCGTCCACTCTAAGCAACAAGAGAGACAGAAAAATCAGCAGTGTGATTAATTGCTTAAAGTATTATTTTCTACTTTACAAAAGAATTTGTCATTATTTTGCTTGGTTTTCTATTTTAAAAACAGCAACCTCCTGTGATAAATTTGAAAGTATAATATTTTGAAAATTGTGACTAGCTAGTAGAATTAATCAATTATGTAAGGAAAAGTTCATGCTCAGAGTAGAACTGTAATTCTCCATGTCCTAGGTGATAAGGCAGTTCGGATCATGTACAAAAATCTACTTGTAAGACCATAAACAAACTTTAACCCAGGATCTGTGGCTACAAGAATGCCCTGCACAATAGCAGTGACAAAACAATTTTCATTATTATAAAATAATCCCTATTTATGTTGAATTTATAAACTTAATTATGAGCATAATTATTACAAACATACATTTTCCATATTATATCTGGTTGAGTACTTTGCTCCATACTTACGGCTGAAAGGGAATGAAGTGCTGTTTATCTTCATCGTCTACTTTTCCATTGATTATATCTGTTACATCCATCACTGGGGACAAGAAAAGAACAGAGATTGCTTTGCTTAAATGCTATAATCATAGAACACAAACAAATGAACATCAGAGTGTTTTCTGACAAACAGCATAAACTGTATGGTAGAATGTTTTTATGTTCAAGTTTAAAGTATTTCCATGTTTGAAAGACAAATTAAGTTACCTGAAAATGCCTGCCTATATGGGGTAGGGGCTCGAATGGCAGAGTTCCATTTACCAACCTCTTTCCCCTATGATCCCATGAGCTCTCTAGAGCTGCATTGGCCAACAGAGCTCTGTATGACGGTGAAATGCTCAATTCCACTGAATACCTAAAAGGTGGCCAGTGTGATGGACAAACTGAATTTTTGCTTTGATTTCATTCATTCACCTTGTAAGAGCCACCATGTGGTGAGGGACGAGCATTGGATGGCAGCTGCATTTCTCCCAAGAAGACAACACAAAAGTACCTATGACTGACCCGCGCCATGCTGGTGTCTGTGGACCCCGTTTCCAGGGACACTTGACAGCTAGTGTTCACAATCACCCACTACACGGCTGAGGACGCTGAGGCTCAGTGACATAAATGAATGACTGCGTAGACAGCTAGGAAGCCTCCGACGCCCAAGCTCCGACCAGTACCGCCAGAAACGGAGAGGAACTGGTAGGACCGGAATGAGGCATCCCCACTTTCTGGCTAGTTTGGTGGAGCCCATGGAGCCCTCAAGGTGTGTCCTGAGGGAGAAGAGCCCCACACACTCGGCTACGCTAGTGCTACACGTACAGCAAAGAGCCGACGAATGCATCCGGAGATCCAGGCCGAAGAATGGCTAATACACAGCCGTGTCAACTCGTGGTTGTGCCAGAGCTGGATGGCCTGGACTCCAGCCTCCACCTGCCAGAGGATTCTCCCAGCGTCAGGCAAGGCGAGCCTGAACCCAGGACCTCCCACAGCCCAGCCCACACGGGCGGCCCTCCTACGTGGCCGCAGAGCTCCCTCCCCCAGCATGGACTTACCCCACCCGCGGACGGTGGTCAGCCTCCTGACCAGCTCCCCCGTCCGAGCCCCGGGCTGCCACAGCAGGGGCCCAGCCACTCGTTGCAGAAAGGCAGCAAGTGAGCAAGAAGGGCAGCCTCAGTGTGAGCACCAGCAAGCCGAAAGCAGCCTTAGTCCCCCCACTCCCTGGAACTGACAGCCCCTGCAGGCCCGCGTCCCAAGCCCCAAGGAGGAGAGGAAGGACTGGGGAGAATCACCCCCAAACTGACAGCCTAGGGTCCCGATGTTCAGGCACAAGGGTCGGTCTTAAGAAAGCCAGGAGTGCAGCTGTGTGCAGTCACTGCGCTTGGGGGGCGAGGGGGGCATCAGAGGCCCAGCCAACAGGTGACATGGCAGGATGCCGGGATGCAGGCAGGAGAGGCACGGTGGACAGTGGTGTCAGAGCGTCAGGGACGGCCAAGGCGGGAAAGAGGAGGGCAGAAGACGACAGACGTGCTGCAAGGGAGAGCTGCGTGCGCTCGGGATGGTGCCTCAGCACCCCTTGCTCAGGGCACCTGGGCACGCAGCATCGAGGTGGCCAAGACACCCCCCCCAACCCAGCAATCCCACTTCGGGGGGGCTCACCCTTCCCAAACAGCCAGAGGGAAGAGAGTCCAAGTGCATGGACACCCACTGCACAGCTGCCATACCACCAAGCAGGAAATACCCTCAAAGCCCAAATATAAAGAGTTGTTGAAATAAGGAGCAGCTGTAAATTGTAGCCACTGAAAATCCCAATTTTTGAATAATATTTCATAAAATGAAATGTTTCTAATGCAATGTTACTTTTAAAAAGATAAAAAAAATACAAAATATGCAATGTGAATAATATTTAATACTGAACCATACACTTAAGAATGCTTTAGATGGTAAAAAAAAAAAAAAAAATAGACTGAGACAAAAAAAATAAATAAGCCCAAAATAAAAAGGACACAGTGTTATGTGATCTTGTTTTAAAAAATCATAAAAAACCACACACATAGAGGAAAAAATTTGAAATACATCAGATTATCATGAGGTATTATCCCCACTACACAGAATTAGAAATGACTTGTTTTAATTATGCTTTTCTTTGTTTTTCATAATTTTTACAATTTTATATCAATTTTACACTATAAAAAAAAGTCACATAATTTTTTCAATACAAGGAGAGCTGTAGGCTTAAAGGCCCAGGAACATTTGGCTCATGTGGGCTCTGTTGACACAAACATGCACAAGTTATTCTGGATAAAACCTTAAAATTAAATACATATGTGTTCATTGGACTTGTACAGGAATGAGCAGAATATGATTGCCCAAAAGTTTATCAGCTTTCAAGATGGAGAAGTGTCCCTTCTTCACCAGAACGAGAGCCGCAGGCAGGAGGCTGTCCTGGGTGGGCAGAAGCGTGCCCTCTTTAAGGCTGCCCCCTGGGTGGGCTGCGTGTCCCTACGAACGAGGGAGGCCACGTGATCTGACGGCAAAGTCCCGCCGGGCGCCACAGTGCCCACAGATGCTCCCAGGCAATGCTGACTAAAGCAGAGGTTCTGATTCAGCTGGCTGGTGTGGGGCATGGCCTGGAATACAGGTTTCAATGGGTCACCAGCCCGTTCTCATACACAGGGTTGAGAACAGCTGCATTAAAATATTGATCTTTTGTGCCAAAGTTTACACATTCAGGTCACATGATGCAAGGCCTTTCCCCCTGTCTCAGAGAGATGTCAGGAGGAAGTTGGAAGATGTATCAGCAGAATGCTCAGGTCCCTGCTTGTTATTTGCAGAAACACACCAGCTAACCAGCCCAGGAATTCTGGCCCCACTGGAATGACATGGGAGCTGAGCAAGCTGGCACCGCCCCACCTTCGCCCTACTCGAAGCTCGGTGCTCAGCACCAGAGGTGACAGGGCATCACGATGCAGGGACAGGAGACATGCAAACCACCTGGCAACAGGTACACAGGACAGAGCAGAAGGACTCAGCTCACACCTAAAACTCCACTTCAACAGCAACAGGTCTGCGATATTGCAACAAAGGAAAAAAATGCCTCCCAGGTATCTCCGAAGCACCTCCCACGGGTTCTTTACAACTGCATAGCAGGGGAAGGGCCCTGCCCAGGCTGGAGTGGAGCAGCAGGGAGCCGCCACCCCCCAGAGAATTCACAGGGCAGCAGGCAGCCCAGAAGGCAAGGCGGGAACGTGGACTGGGCGCATTTCAGCAGCCCCGAGGCCCAGAGCCCAGTGGGTACCAGGGTCACAAGACAGAAAAGCCAAGGATGAGGTATCATGAGGTATAATCCCCACTACACAGAATTAGAAATGACTACCTGCCCCACCTCTGCCGTCAGATCACCTGCCCTTCCTTGTTCATAGGGACACGCAGCCCACCCAGGGGTGGCCCTGACTCCAGACCCCCTGGGTAAGGAGTGACTTTCAACCTCTCCCCTCCGCCTCCCTAAGCCTTCCTGGAGCATGAAAGGTCAACCTATGGAAGCTCAGAAAAGTCCCATCTTAATGAAAGGAGGGCAAAACTGCTAGTCTCTGGTCTCGACATCATCACTGTTCTAAGAAATCTGACAACACATTTGTAGGAACCTGTCAGTCAGCAATCCAACCACCCAAAAAATACAGCACCGAGGGGAAAGAGGCCTAACTTGTACGCACTGTCAGATCTCTCTGGTCGCTTAAGGGAAGCCTGACACATCCGAGACAAAAATACAATATTCCCTTACAAGGACCACAGAGGTGAGAAAGAGAAAAAGAATTCTGAAAAACTGTATGTATTTCAACTATAAAAAGGGATTGCACATAAAAGATACAACAGGTTCTGAAAAACAGAGGTGCAATTTTAAAGTATGTATTCAAGTCACAAAGGATGAAAACGTGAAAGGATTTCCCAAGCCCGTGGTCATGAGGACCTCAGAAAGGCAACCTCAGCCTCAAAATGTGACTCGCAAACAGAAGATTCAGTGGAATACCCCCTCATGCAGCCCTGCTGATAAATGGAAGTAAATTGAGTTAATGTGCTTCTTTCTCATAATGCCTACACTGTTGTTATTATTAAATTTTTATGAAGTAACAAATCATTTATTTAAATTATTTGATCCATTTCTCAAAAAAAATCCAGGCAGGGCACAATGGATTTTTAACAGCAGGGAAACCTCTGTAGGGTACTAGAATGGAGTATACATGTCATTGTACATTTGTCCATACCCGCAGGGTGCACTCCAAGGAGCTGGGATCTAAACTACGGACTTGGGAGGGAATGTCGTGTTAACGTAGGTTCACTAGCTGAAACAAATGCTCCTCTCACGCTGCTGTGGATAGTGGGGGAGGCTGTGCATGTGTGGGGACGGGGGTGGGGGCCACATGAGAAACCCATGAAATTTCTGTAGTCTGCTCCATTTTGTTAAGGACTTAAAAACTATTCTACAAATGAAGTCTACTTAAAAGGGGTTAAAAACAAAACAAAACAAAACCAGCAGAGCCCTGGGTTTCCTGGTAGCCTGGAAACCAACTACGTGTCAGAAGGAAGAACCTTCCCCACATACAGAGTCATGCAAACCCCAAGGACCACAAGCAGCCATAACTAAGTGGGGGTCTGCCGCAGCCACCCCACCATGGGACAAACGCACTCCCCAAACGGTGAAGACTGAGTGACACTGAAAGAGGTGGACTGATGAGGACTCCTGGGGACACTTCCCTCCTCAGAGAGAACTCCCCTCCCCCTCCCCTGTGCTGTCACCAGAATCACAGAGCTCGCACATGGAGGATAAAAGCACCTGTTTTAAAATGCCTGTGTCCTCCCCAGGCCTGCGCTCCTTCCACCTCTTCATCACTTTGACGGCTGGGTGCAGATTCACTCCCCAGTCAGTCAATTACCGAGTCCAGAAACCCCCAAAACCTCCCCTGACTGGCTTCCCTCCAGGCTGAGAATGTGGGTCAGGGTCTCCCCCAGGAGATGCGATCCACTTTAAAACCAAATACATGATTGACATCTGAAACTCGTGGACCAAAGCTTCCTGAACTGCACATCAACTTGAGACCTCACAGAAAGAAACTAAAAGATTTTTTTCTCCCCAACAGAGAAGCTTATAAATCAAAACGGCCCACTGTCCAATATTCAGCAGCAGCTCTTATTCACGGGGAGGGTGACGACCTTGAAACTCAGGAAGAAGGGGAGACATGATTACCGGCCGCTCCGAACGGTCGCCGTAAGCCCGAGGTCAGTTTCCTGGTGCTGTTGTCCCTCAGCTCCATGCGACCCACACGGACGATCTGACAAACAAAACTGATTTTCTCCCTCTTCAGGTCTTTGCTCCCGAGGTCCTAGAAATATTAATTTCCATAAATTATTTTGGAGAACCATTACTCAATGCAGGTTCAACTGAAACGGCCAGAAGAAAGATGGATTGGGACTCTTCTCCAACCAGGTTTTAGCACTTTAGTAAGTTACTCCTATGACAAAAGAAACCAAATAAAAGAAGTCAATTAATGTTAAGTGAGCGAAAGATACAAGTTTAAGAGACGAGCTGGAGTGAATCCATGTCATGGGGATTCTAAGGGGAGCGAGAGACCCGGAAGGTGTCTGGGAAGGCAGCTTATTACTACCAAGTCAACATGCACTCGAGGTACTCGGAGGACTCATGCCCTAGCGTGGTGAGAAGTCAGCAGGAGGTCATTAAAAACAATCATTAGAACCGTGAATGATTCAACTGACCATCTTTCGAGGCACTTACAGTAAAAACAGCTCGCAAATTATGTAATCTGTCTATGTCTTTGGGCAATCCTGAACTTGACCAACGAACCAGGTAGTTTTCACTTGAAAAAGAAAGAAAAGAAAATTAGTTTTCCAAATATAACAGGGTACTAAGTGGACAAACGCAGTGACTTAGAATTAATACCACAGAGGTCCACAGTGCAGACAATCGTGAAAGTGCAAAAATACCACCAACTTCAAACAGGGCTACTCTTCTATTGACACACACCACAAGTAATTTCCCACACAAGGTCATAGCTGAGGATGGCCGGCACAAAATTCTTAGGAGGTTTTAATTTTGGACGTCTAGGGTTTTAACTGCAATGGAACTATTTGCGAATGGCATTTCCAGGTTTATTACTTTAAAAGCATACTTTTCATGTGGATTCACTAGTCTAAAATTCACCATCTATTCACTTATAGTGTAAAATAAACATGGCATACTTATTTCAGAGCCTATGACAGATCAAATATGACCTAACAATATAAATGGAATCCCACATCAAGAGGAAATAAAGTCCTTATCAGAAATGAGAATTTGTTCCATTTTCTGTCATATACTAATTTTTAAATTTTTAAATAATAAAAATGAAGGTACTGGAGTTTGAAATACACACACAGGTGAAACCATCCTTTTTCCATCTGGACAAAGAGGAAGTTACACTGAGGGACAAAAGCAGGAACTAGGAAAGAGACCTCAGAAATGACATGAACAGCAGAGATGAATTTGCTGCATTTTGTTCAATAAATATTCATTGAGAGGTTTTATGTGGCAGATACTATTCTAGACACTGTATTCAACCAATCATGTTGGCGAAATAACAATAGGTCAAAAGTCCAGAAATGACTCGCAGCTAACAAAAGTTCAAACAACTAATACTAAGACAAGAGTGACATTTGGGGGGTCTGGAAACATAAAATCCTATGGCGGCAACATAGTAAACATTACTTTCATCTCCAGCTGCCAGGTTCTCAAAACATTACAATACTAAAACTCTACAATCAGATATCCATGTACAAGCAAGAAAGCTAACCCCAGACAAAGCCCAAGCTAGCTGCTGTCACACCGCCCCAGAGGAACACCAGTCCAGCTGCAGGGGGACATCTGGCCAGCTGGTCACCCCAAGGGCTCTCGTTCAAGAGCGAGACTTGGTGACGGCTGTGCAGCAATTTTCCTAACACTAACCAAAGACAAAGACAGCAGCCAGGCAAGGTCACCGACCTGATGAATTTGGACTCCGCAGGATCATAGAGAGACATGAGCACTTCAGCATCTTCTCCGATTTTACAAACCACATTCTTGAGGTTGACAAACAAGGCCAGAGAAGGGGTGGCAGCAAACTTAGCTTGTCTGTTAATATCTATGTTCTGCTTTTGAGACTGTAAGTGCAAACAAAACGCAAAGTTGACATAAGCAACTCTCTTCGCTAACCCTTGCTTTTTTATCCTCAGCAAGACAGAAAACTGTGCAACTACAGCGATGCCACTCAGAGTCACTCCCTTGTCCCCAATTTCAGTTCTCAAAACATGCATGCACCCAGCTGAAACTAATAATGCCCTGTGCAATGGTCACAATCCTTTAACAGTTTGTATTAAGCATTTTCTTCAGAAACACAAAATGATCAGTTGTCTATCAGTGAATCAGAATGGTGATTAAAACATGCAAGTTGCTTTTTTAATGTCTGGTTCTCCCGTTAGACTAAACCCTCCAAGGACACCTCTGCCATTCTTCATTATGTCCTCCATACCTGGCACAAGTAAAAACTTTTGCTAAATAAATGGATGACTCAGTCGATTTCTGATTATCTATTATATACAAGATACATTGAAGGCCACAGAAGACGAAAAAGATCAATAAAAGAGGTGTTCCCTGCCCTCATGGAGTTTAGAGTACTATTAATACTAATACTTAATAATATTCCCCTACTCCTACCCAGAGGAAAGGCAGGTACTGTTTCCCATGAGATGAGAACGAAGTCGACATCACTAAGACCCTGCCTCCTAAGAAGTGGCACAATGCCACACCCCCTTCAAGGGCATCACGAGCAACATGATGACACTGGGCTCCCTTTCCATTCATCACTGTGCGAAATACAGTGTGTAAATGCACCTTCTCAGGTCCTTTTTAGTGCAGATTCTGAGTTTCTTTGATGTTTTACTCATGCTGGAAATCGAGAAAACACATTCCAGAAGCCAACAGCACGCTGCACAGAGATGAACTTACTTTTTCTTCTTGTAATCTTTCCTCTACTTGTTTAGAAGCTACTTCATGAGCTCTGAAGAGACTAATCGTGCTCGTTAGTTCCGGGTCCAAAATGTTCCCATCTTCATCTCTCACCACCAAGTCCAAATCAAGAATTCTAGAACAACAAGAATTCGGAACTTCGTGGACACAAAACAAGAGCTTTCAGTTCTCTAACACAATTTCAGTCCTACCACCCGAGCAAAAAAAAAAAATCACAGAAAGTTGGGGTCACCCACATATATTAGGGTGACAAAACTGCTAGGTGATTTTTACAATTTTCCTTGAAGAAATAAAGGCAATTCTATAAAGAAAGAAACCAAAAGTTGTGCTCGTCCTGTGTTTTCTGGTTTTCTTTTTAAAGACAACTTAACCAGATGCCTTATACTTTACTTTTGGGGGTTTCTTCCTGCTAGTAACAAGGCTATGGAGGCAGGACTTTTTTTTTTAACCATACAACAAAGGAAACAGTCTGTTAGAAGAAATGTCTGTAACAATTGCAAATTTCTAAGGGAAGCTGACTTGGCATACAGGCTCCATCCAGGCAAAGGAACCTCCCAGATCTCTGAAGGACACAGTGCAGACAATTGTGAAAGTGCAAAAATACCACCAACTTCAAACAGGGCTACTCTTCTATTGACACACACCACAAGTAATTTCCCACACAAGGTCATAGCTGAGGATGGCCGGCACAAAATTCTTAGGAGGTTTTAATTTTGGATGTCTAGGGTTTTAACTGCAATGGAACTATTTGCGAATGGCATTTCCAGGTTTATTACTTTAAAAGCATACTTTTCATGTGGATTCACTAGTCTAAAATTCACCATCTATTCACTTATAGTGTAAAATAAACATGGCATACTTATTTCAGAGCCTATGACAGATCAAATATGACCTAACAATATAAATGGAATCCCACATCAAGAGGAAATAAAGTCCTTATCAGAAATGAGAATTTGTTCCATTTTCTGTCATATACTAATTTTTAAATTTTTAAATAATAAAAATGAAGGTACTGGAGTTTGAAATACACACACAGGTGAAACCATCCTTTTTCCATCTGGACAAAGAGGAAGTTACACTGAGGGACAAAAGCAGGAACTAGGAAAGAGACCTCAGAAATGACATGAACAGCAGAGATGAATTTGCTGCATTTTGTTCAATAAATATTCATTGAGAGGTTTTATGTGGCAGATACTATTCTAGACACTGTATTCAACCAATCATGTTGGCGAAATAACAATAGGTCAAAAGTCCAGAAATGACTCGCAGCTAACAAAAGTTCAAACAACTAATACTAAGACAAGAGTGACATTTGGGGGGTCTGGAAACATAAAATCCTATGGCGGCAACATAGTAAACATTACTTTCATCTCCAGCTGCCAGGTTCTCAAAACATTACAATACTAAAACTCTACAATCAGATATCCATGTACAAGCAAGAAAGCTAACCCCAGACAAAGCCCAAGCTAGCTGCTGTCACACCGCCCCAGAGGAACACCAGTCCAGCTGCAGGGGGACATCTGGCCAGCTGGTCACCCCAAGGGCTCTCGTTCAAGAGCGAGACTTGGTGACGGCTGTGCAGCAATTTTCCTAACACTAACCAAAGACAAAGACAGCAGCCAGGCAAGGTCACCGACCTGATGAATTTGGACTCCGCAGGATCATAGAGAGACATGAGCACTTCAGCATCTTCTCCGATTTTACAAACCACATTCTTGAGGTTGACAAACAAGGCCAGAGAAGGGGTGGCAGCAAACTTAGCTTGTCTGTTAATATCTATGTTCTGCTTTTGAGACTGTAAGTGCAAACAAAACGCAAAGTTGACATAAGCAACTCTCTTCGCTAACCCTTGCTTTTTTATCCTCAGCAAGACAGAAAACTGTGCAACTACAGCGATGCCACTCAGAGTCACTCCCTTGTCCCCAATTTCAGTTCTCAAAACATGCATGCACCCAGCTGAAACTAATAATGCCCTGTGCAATGGTCACAATCCTTTAACAGTTTGTATTAAGCATTTTCTTCAGAAACACAAAATGATCAGTTGTCTATCAGTGAATCAGAATGGTGATTAAAACATGCAAGTTGCTTTTTTAATGTCTGGTTCTCCCGTTAGACTAAACCCTCCAAGGACACCTCTGCCATTCTTCATTATGTCCTCCATACCTGGCACAAGTAAAAACTTTTGCTAAATAAATGGATGACTCAGTCGATTTCTGATTATCTATTATATACAAGATACATTGAAGGCCACAGAAGACGAAAAAGATCAATAAAAGAGGTGTTCCCTGCCCTCATGGAGTTTAGAGTACTATTAATACTAATACTTAATAATATTCCCCTACTCCTACCCAGAGGAAAGGCAGGTACTGTTTCCCATGAGATGAGAACGAAGTCGACATCACTAAGACCCTGCCTCCTAAGAAGTGGCACAATGCCACACCCCCTTCAAGGGCATCACGAGCAACATGATGACACTGGGCTCCCTTTCCATTCATCACTGTGCGAAATACAGTGTGTAAATGCACCTTCTCAGGTCCTTTTTAGTGCAGATTCTGAGTTTCTTTGATGTTTTACTCATGCTGGAAATCGAGAAAACACATTCCAGAAGCCAACAGCACGCTGCACAGAGATGAACTTACTTTTTCTTCTTGTAATCTTTCCTCTACTTGTTTAGAAGCTACTTCATGAGCTCTGAAGAGACTAATCGTGCTCGTTAGTTCCGGGTCCAAAATGTTCCCATCTTCATCTCTCACCACCAAGTCCAAATCAAGAATTCTAGAACAACAAGAATTCGGAACTTCGTGGACACAAAACAAGAGCTTTCAGTTCTCTAACACAATTTCAGTCCTACCACCCGAGCAAAAAAAAAAAATCACAGAAAGTTGGGGTCACCCACATATATTAGGGTGACAAAACTGCTAGGTGATTTTTACAATTTTCCTTGAAGAAATAAAGGCAATTCTATAAAGAAAGAAACCAAAAGTTGTGCTCGTCCTGTGTTTTCTGGTTTTCTTTTTAAAGACAACCAGATGCCTTATACTTTACTTTTGGGGGTTTCTTCCTGCTAGTAACAAGGCTATGGAGGCAGGACTTTTTTTTTTAACCATACAACAAAGGAAACAGTCTGTTAGAAGAAATGTCTGTAACAATTGCAAATTTCTAAGGGAAGCTGACTTGGCATACAGGCTCCATCCAGGCAAAGGAACCTCCCAGATCTCTGAAGGTCGCACACCTGACAGCTGGGGTGGGTCTGAGAACCTGTCAAACAGGTTTAGTTTTCAGAATTATGTTGGGCCAGGGCACCATGCGGAAGGCAATCACAGAAGCCTATTTTTTTCCTTTTAATATCAATTGAGCAAATTCACTGACGGTGAAGCAAGACCAACCGGGCATGTCAACAGCATGAGGGGAAACAGGCTTTTAAAGCAACAGGCAGAGGCTTTATGCTCTGCTTGAAAACAGGTTCAGTAGTTGCAGTGATGGTGGGGTGCCTCAAGAGGAACAGAAAGACATTGTTTTTAAAAAGGCCTTTAAAGCTCTCACGTTAGTTTTCACTGAGACATGTTTCGTGAGGTAAAGCCCCTCCCTCCCAAATATCACTGCGCATCCCAGCTCTGAACCTGCCTCTGGGAGGAGTCAGTGCCGCTGTGGGAGGAGTCAGTGCTGCCATGGGTGGGGCCAGCGCTGGTGTGGGTGGAGCTAAGAAGACCTCCCTTTGAAGGAGGACTGGCCCAAGGGGTCCTGCAGGCAAACAGAATCAGGCTCCCTGAGGAAAGGAGGCCCAGGCCGTGCACTAGCCTGCTGCATACATTCTGCCATGTACTCTTCACCTCAGTCCTGCCAGGTTAGGCCCATTGCACAAAGGAGGAAACCTAAGCTCAGAGAAATCCCTGGAAGAGCCCAGAGGCTGGATTCGGAGCCAAAACCTTCTCATTGCAGACCCCACGCTCCTTCCAAAACGCCACATGGGCACTGTCACAGGAAGTGGCCTGTCAGGGGTCTTCCTCATGCCAACCATTCTATGTGCAGTCAGTGCACAGGTGGTCTGGAATCCATGGTGAAATTCCACTATGAATGTAAATCTTAGCACAGCAAGAGACTCAACACCATTGGACACCAATTCCAGGAAACCTAAAGCACCTTTCAGGAGAGGGGAATGAAAACCCCACTGAAATAACACATATCATTGTATGTGTGTGTTACATACGTGTATTTTTCTAGAGTAAGCACCCATGACTTCAGTCATTCTCAAATGTCTCCCAGAAACCCTCTTAAAGATGGACTTTCAACACTCTGACTTTACTTTGCATTATTTTGTTTTCTGAAGACGGAACCACCAAGATGCACTGAGCAATGGGCTTTAGAGAAATTACGGAATAGCCTTGAGTTACTCGGGCAAAAAGCTGTCTTAATAAGGACTACTATTTCCCATCTAAGTAGCAAATTACATTTGGAAACACTTCCTTTCTTAAGTAGGTTATTCTGTGACATAATGTACTTTGGTAGCTTCCTGCAGCTAAATTAAACAGGTGGTTTCTGAACCTAAATTCAAAACACAATACTCCACGGGAAAATAAAATCAAAGCCCCAGAAGTTTGTTTTTTTAAGCAGGTGGTCTTGAACTGGTCATCACTGCAACAGTATCTAATTTCCTATACCCAGAAGTCTGTGGTAAAAAACAAAAAACAAAAACCTTCTCCTGTACCCTGACTAATCTAAACGCTACCTCTAAAAGCTTCCTCAGTTCATCCAGGCCCCCCTTTAGCTGAATAGCTGGAGGCAAACCTCTCCTCTTCCTGGAGTTTTCTGTCCCCATGTATAAAATGAGGGGGACGTGCTAAACCAGAAGTTTCCCAATCTGCTGTCCATCGTGGCCCAACTCTATTTTTAAAAGCTGAGATCTCCAGCTAGCATTCCAGACATCAGAAATCAGAATCTTAAGGAGTAATTAAGTCTCAGGATTCTGCATTTTGAAAGTTCTCCAAGTGATGTGATATGGGCCAGCACTGGGAAACCATATGACCGGATTCTTTTTAAGGCTTTTTGCAGTTCTGAAATTATATGGACAACCAAGTAGTTACCCTGTGGGAGAGGGCATGGCCTCATTCTGTAAACCTGGCAGAATTAGGAGGAAGCAAGTCACTTCCATTTAAGCCTCAGAAATGCTTGCTAATGCTATAACCTGCAGCTCTACGAGGGCGCGAGCACACCACTGTGGAAGGCATTCAAGCAGAGCTGGGTGGACGCCTGCTATAGATGGGAACTTGGCATAAGACACACTTAGACCAAAAACTTTTCTGTTGTTTATCTGGAATTCACATCTGTTGTTTATCTGGAATTCACATTTAACTGGCTGTATTTACGTTTGCCAAAATCTGGCATCCCTACACTGGTAACAAGTTTTAAGGTGACCTTTGATGTCCCTTCCACCGCTGAGAACTTAGGTTCCAGAGAAAGAAGTCTGGTGCTTGTTATGATACCTGGACTCAAAGTCAAATACTGTGAGCAGAAAGTAAAAGTTCCTTATCAGGAGAAATCCTGCTGGGTCCCCTCCAGAAAAGGGAAACTGACAGGCTCCCCAAGCCCCGGCTTCTGGAGAACAAGATAAGGTTTGTACAGTGACTCAGAAAACACCTGACTGCCAGGATCCAATAGAAAACACCTCATCCTTTTAAAAATGAAAACCATGCCATTATTTGACATTAGAAAATTTGTTTTATGATAACATGTGACTGTAGTCTCCTCAAGGCTTATGGTAATATTATTGTATTGGATAATTTAAGCATGAAATCATCTTTCAAATAAACAAACCTGTTTCCATAATCAATTTTAGCAGTGACCTTCTTCTTCAGTTCTTTGAGTTCATCCTGGGGCAGGGTTCCAGAAAGAATCTGCGATCGCCACTCGATGAGATCGTAGATCATGTGCTGCACACTTCGAAACATCTCCCTGTTATCTTGCTGTACAAGGGGGGAAAAGCCAATGCAAAGCTTTTGGTATAAAACAAAACTGTGGATGTTTTTTCTAATATGCATGTACTATGGGCTTTCCATGATGGAATTCAATTAATGCCCTATTAAAAGATGCCTTCAGCATGAAACAGGAACAGACTATACAGAATGTGGTTCCCATCAGACACTAAAAGATTAAAGGGATTCCATAGGAATGCACAATCCTCAAGATTCCATCCATCATGTCAGAGGATGTACCACTGACTCAAGAGGTCAGGCACAGCAGGATCTGGACGGGAGCCTCAAAGCGAGCCCAGGGATGGGCAACCCCGGAAGCTCCCTCCTCCGACTCAGTCTGAGCCTAAGGCTCCTGCCTGCCAGGAATTCAGAAAACCCTGGGCCCTGGGCCCTTCTCAGCACACTGAGAAACTAAACCCCTGGGCCCGGCCGTCCGCTGAGCTACAAGAACGTCATCATGCTGGGCTCTCCTGACGCCCCATCGTCACTCAGCATGGGCAGACAGGCTTCTGCAAGGGGCCAAATTGGAATGCACGAGTTCTCAGGGCATTTGTGCCAAAAGGAACACGTAAGTAAATTCACACTTCCTGTCACTCTCTACTTAGTTCTAGGGGATGGATGGTACAAAGCAGAGCAAGGGCTCTGTGACCCCACGAGTACAAACCCAGGCCATGAGGGGTTACCCAAAGGAAGAACACAGTAGTGCTGCCCACGGAAAGAAATGTAGCAGACACTTCATTTGATAAAACTCTAAATCTAATGGTCCCTGTAAAAACTAACATGTGGCCGTTGCTACTTTTCAGAATAACTCCTCTACTTATCTGAACATCTCATCCCACCATCTTACCTTCTAAGAATTTCTAAGACCCCCACCACCTGACCCTCCTGTGACGCCCTAACAGACTATTTTACATCTCAGAGGCTCTTTTTCATCATATCATCCTTATTTTAATTTCTTAAATAAAAACTAAATGGTCAAAATTAATGTTCGCCTCCCACTTACTCATTTTCCTTGTCCATTTTTCTAAAGTTTTAACAAATATCTAAAAATCCTTTGTATTTTGCTAACGTGTCTATAATCACAGAGCAGAAAAAGAAATTCACAGAAAAATATTATGAAACCATAGGAAACTTTTTGGATTTGCATAAACAGGTAACAGAAGCCCTTGAGGGGCAAATGCGAATTTTTAAAAAAGAAACCAAGGCCATCATTAGGAACGACTTATTCCAGGGTTGCATGGCTCAACCCATGGCCACTCACATAGTAGGCACCATTCGGCTCCTGTTTGTTTGGCTGACATATTTTTGTTCAAAAATTGCTAAGTCGAACATGAAACACCAAGTAGAAAATTGCTCAGATTTACACAAAACATTCGCAGCTAACTTTACGCTTTTCAATTTTTGAGAACACTTGGTGAACAATCACTGCAACTGCTTATTTCTGTACATTTACAGGAAACCACTGTTGCATCAGAAACAGCAAGCCTGCCGGAGAGCAGCTGTGGGACTGGGAGAAGTTTTCTGTGCTCCCAAGAAACTGACATGCTGACATCCCTCCAGAGCCCTTGCTTGGCGCTGACGGCATTAGCATATTAGAAATCGACGCTCTGAATAGAAACACAGGCTTAACCAAAGATAATCGTCTGCAAATAGGAACTGATCTGAGGGAGTATGAAATGCAAGATTTCAGAGCCTCTACCGCCGGCATTAATAAGGCTTCTTCTGTGACCAGGACCAGCCATTGCACATAAAGCCAGAATGTGAGCAAGTTCCCTAGCTCGGTAACAAACACGCTTACTCTCGAAGATGATGAAGTTTTTCCCAAACGATAAGGGGCAGGCGATGGCAAAAAAAAAAAATCATCATCCTTTGCTGCATCCATAAATAAGCACCTATTACAATTTAAAAGCAGGTTTTAAGTTTTCATGAGCAAAATGTAAACTTTGAGGGTCCATCAATGTAGACTGCCCGATCCCACCTGCAAAGCCCTCAAGCAGCGAGGAAAGGTGAGACCCGTAGCCCCTTCCTCTCCACACTGTACCCCCAACACAGAGCAGGTCAAAGGGCACACGGCCAAGGGTGCCCAGAATAAAGGCCCATGTTGCTTTCTTTGACCTTTCTGGATATGACCCAGTCCCAGTTCTGCTTTGAGGTTCCCAGGGAAAGGAAAAAACATCTCGTTGGTACAGCAAGGTCCACAAAGAACCATTCTCTGTGTTTCAGCTTCAATTCGGCACCCCGTTTTCTCACCACGTAGAGCTGCCTCCAGATGGTGGACCACTCGCGGAGTGTCGTGGTGGCCTCCTGTATGAGTGGCAGGTCACCCGGAATGACTGTTTCATGTTGCCTGAGAGGCAAAGAGAAAGGAAAGCTAAACTCAAGGCTTCATGAAGCTCTGCGAGTCATACCTTATAAATGCCAAATCTAGGCTGCAGAGTTAGATATTTAAGCAAATGGAGAGAAAATATACAAAGAACACTGCATCCACACATATGATTACATACATCTCTCAGAATGACAAGAAGTAGTATTTTTGCACAGAGCTGGAGAATGTTCATTATCCAAGAAAAGCCATCTACCTCCTACATCAAGGGAAGATGAAGGAGGCAAAAAATATCCCATTAGAAGTCTCCAGAACGTCAAGGTCTGAGAAGTGTAAAGTACATTCCTAATATGTGTGCCCATCTATCTTACAGATGCCATAAATTACAACCACTCTGTGTGGCATTAAAATGCGGGTTTTGGGTAAAAGGAGTTCCACATTTCCATCATGCATAAAGCTCATTATATGATGATACACAAAGCGGTTATCCTCAGTGACATGAGTGAGGCTGCAGCTTTCAAATGTCTGTAGGTATTCTTGATCCCCAAACTCTGATTTTTCTCTTTCCCTTTTCTCACCACCCCAAAAGGTTAACCCTTAACTCGCTCTTAGCTGTTCCTATTTGTGTATCATTTTTTTCTCAAATCAACCACAGTTTTCCAGTTTCAGGCTCTGAGCCAAGCACTGTGCTTGGAATGAGAACCTTTGGGACGGAGTAAGAGCCTCAACTGTGGCTTGTGAAGTGAAGCCCCCAAGCCCAGGGGCCTGAGCAGACACAGTGTCGTGAACACACAGGACTCCAGCCAGCACTGGACATCCAGGCACACCAAAGCCGGTTCCACACGCCGTATGTGCCGATCTTCCCGGGACCCAGACCAGCAAAGAAGATGCTGGCTTTGGCTCACCTTTGGGGTTCAGTGCCTTAATGAGAGTGGGGGCTCCCAGGGAGAACACGATCTCTGTGGAGCGCCCCGGCCACATGCACCAGCTGGAGGGGCAGGGGCCAGATGTGTGTACGAGACCACCCCCCCCACCCGAGAACTGCTTTGAGGACTCACCTTTGATGGGACTGTTACACCACCACCTGGCCAAGTCTGTCTCCATGTTCCCCGGTAAGGATGCTGATGAAAATGTGGCTCACTACACGCTCTGCAACACCGTCCTTCTAAAGCCTCCAGGGAGAAATCTCTCCTCTCTCACAGGGTGAGCACATTCATCAGCGACCGGGCCGCCCTCACTGGACAGGTCCGGAGCTCCTGCTGAGTCCCCTGGGCTCTCCCCACTGGTGATCACAGGCCCGGGACTCACTCAGACCCGCTTTCACCACGCAGAGAGAGCCTCACTGCACAGGCTACATCCTGGTCCTGGTTCTGGACCCTTCTTCCCTTTGATGGGCGTGATTGGCCCTGGCACTAACATGCCGATTGGCTCTAATGCATTTGATCTGCCGTGTCATACCACCCTTGTAAGCACCCTGGTACCTGCTGCAGTCAGCAATGACCAATCCCAACAATCTCAGTCACCTTGGGCTATTGACAAAACCCACGGGAAGAACCGTCACACAGGAGAATAAGCAGGACAAGCAGTCACTGTGCCAAAGGTATCTACCTAGTAATGATTCAACATCCAGGGATGACCAGGGCTGGAGGTCCCCTTCTCAGCACTACCCACAGAGAGGGAACAGCTGGTGGTACAAGCACAGCGGCCACCTCAGAGGGCAGAGGCCACAGAGAGCCAGGGGAAGAGCAGGGGAGCTCCGTGGGAGGAGTGGGGTCAGGGATAGGTTAGGGCAGGCAAAGGACCAGGAGGCATCAGACAGACAAGGAGCTCAGGGTCCCAGGCCGCAGGAGAGCTCGGGAGGAGGAGCGCTGACAGTGAAGTCTGGGAACTAGGGGGCACGGGCAACCACGACGGCGGGGGCAAGGGGACAAAGGAGAGCTGCTTTGCTTCTGGGGGAAAAGGCGTAGGCTTGTGCGGCCTCAGCGCAGCAGAGACACGGCAAAGACTCGGGGTGGCTGAGAGTGACGGAGGGCCAGTGTGCAGAAAGGGGCAGCCTGCCAGGGACACGGGAGAGGGAGCTTGGGGCAAGGAGGCAGGCAGGGCAGCATGGCAGAGTGGGCAGCTCTGGGGGAGGAAGGGCCAGGGGAGGAGAAGGAAGATGATGCCCACAGGTCCCCCGAGGGACAGAGGAGGCGGAGGGGGGTCACCTTCAAGTCTGAGGCAGGAGGTTCTTCACAAGGAGACCCCAAGGTCTCCAGGCTGGGTGGGAGCAGCAGGGAAGAGACTTAGGACCAGGAACCCAGGGTGGGGAACTGCAGGGAGTGCCAGGACATTGGCAGGGAGCCCCAGACCACCAGCAGGGAGCCCCAAAACACTGGCAGTGACACTGTTCCTAAACTGTTTACTTCCCCAGGCCATTCATTTGCTTGCAGTGGGACGTGTACACGAGACCCAGGGAGAGGGACAAATGTGTCTCTGTCTGCCTGTCTGTGTCTGTCTGTCTGGGTGGGTGTGACTACAGTCATTGAGAATCAAACTAATCTCTTGTTCCCTTTCCTGTTACATCTTGTAATTATATTGTGCATGTCTTCTTTTGTGTCCCTCAAAGTGCTTTTTAAAAAAAATTAATCATACGCAGTCTAACCAGTATACTGATGCTGACACTGACAGATGTAAATGCATTAAATGCACATTTTATTCAATTATTTCCACAGTAGGGTCAAATTTCCTTTTTTTCTTCCCTTTATAACTTTGCAAACAAAACATTTTACCTGTATTAAAAAATACCATATATTACAGGTCATCACCATTTATGCCTCTAAATTATTTCCTTCACTTTAATTATGCACCATGCACCTACAGAACCCAAGCTAGTCCTTTTCATATGTTAAAAGCACAGTGCTTGGAAAGGCAATTTTGTAATCAGCCAAAGAGATGTCATTATGCAGTAATCATATGATTAGTAATTTTATAATTTACATATTTAACTGAGGGTGAAGATGCGGCAGAGACAGAAAAGGAAAGCATTTTAATGTTCCTTCTTCAAACTTCACACCTGGCTATTCATTTGCCATTCCTGCCTAATGGGTTCCTGTTCTACGAATGTCCTTTTAATGATCTTAGGCATCAGTTTTATGACCTCTACGAAACATACATCACAATGAGACAACATGTAAATACACACATGTCCCAATTTAACAACTGCTGCTCCTTCCTAAACTCCTGCAAAGTCTTCCGGAAAAATGGATACAGAGCTGGAAGCCTCTGCTCAATGAGGAAGCTCACAAAGGAAGCATGGAGCCGTCGGGGCCAGTGCCCCCCCCCCACCCCAGACTCCACAGGTTCCCGGAGACACTGCGGTTACCGTGTTTACGGAAGGCCCTTCAAGGGCCTGAGGCCGTGTCGTACACAACTCGAAGGTCACAAGCGTCCCTCTCTCAACACCCCTGCCACCTCATGGCCAGTCACACCCACTAGCCAACCCCTCATACGACCCTGCCACGCAGGAGTGCAACAAGGCCAGTGTAACAATTGCATTTCTGCATTTAAACATCAAGGACAGACTCACCCTTTTCCTTCCACTATAGCTTCTTTAAGATGAATATATGAAGCAGGAAATATACCCTTTGAGGAGAAAAAAAAGATAGTATGTTTTATTATCAGTGTGAATACCGATTGAAAATCAAACATCTGCCACAAAAAAGGTCGGCGTAGGCATGCCTGGGTCATTACTAATTCTTCAAGCATTATGTTAAGTCTCACATATACAATAAAAAAATTACAAAAGATGGCAGCTCAATCCACTGGTGTTTCAAAGAGGCTGTCGATGTCAGAAAAAAACAGAAGCAATCCATTTCCAAAGAGAAAATTCAGGACTCTCCTGTGCCGTCTCCATAGGTGGCACCTTGTTTTCACTGCTGCCCTCGACCCAGGCAGATCAAAATTCCCTGATGCCTAAAAACAATTTTTAATGATGCCGCACAGTAGCTGCACTCTTCAAAAATGCTAAAATTGCCATCAAAGGCTGGCTTACACCATTTCTCACGGGGATGCATGACTACTTACCTGACCCACAGGCTTTCTCGTCCATCTCCTGAGGGGCTGTCTGATGATATAACAGAAACAGAGCGGATTCGCCCCATCCGCATGACTCTGGGGGCAGGGGGCCCACCAGTTTGTATTAATGCACTGCTCCACAGCAGCACAAGCCCTACCGAGCAGTGCTAAGGGGGACAGTTTCTTAAGAGGACGTTCATTGTCAGGCACAGCCTGTGAAGTGCCCAGAGCTTTACCAAGAGTTTTGCCCCTGCTTCCTGAGCAAGCCAAATGCCTCCCTGACTGGAGCAGGAAAGAGCACCTGAAAGGCAAGCGATGGTGCAAGAGGTGCCAGCGTGGTGGGCGTCACCATGCAAGCTGGCTGTGGCTTCCTGAGGGAGATGAGTGCGTGCAGCCCAAATCCAGTCAGCGGTTTCCAGGCACCCATTGTGGGAGCAGGAGCTGCTGACTGAGATCCCCGGAGGATTTACACAAAAGACCCAGAACCACAAGTGCGTACCAGTCATGCTTGGGAAGGGCGTGGGCACGCCCCGTCATGCTCCTGCCACCAGGAAAGTGACCGAATTTCATGGAAAGAAGAACTATCAGACAGGAAGGAGTCGGGAGAAAGACAGAGGCTGGACAACAAAGAGGACCAGAGGGACTCCCTGCTGGTAACTCTGTTCAGGTCCTGGTCCCCGGGGGTACGCCTCCAGACGGGCATGATCTTCAGCACACACCTGATGTCACAGATGCACACTCAACGGGAGGAGGAAACAAACAGGCCAGCCTCGCCTGTGTCCACAGCAGGGATCCCCTCAACCTCAGCAAACCTGCTGTCAGCATGATGCAGCCATAGAAGAGTCATGGACAGGAGGGGGCTGGCCACATTTGCAGGGTGAACTGAGCAACTACTCCAGCTGGGGTCAGCAGAACCAGCCCTGATCAACTGCACATTTGTAAATGTCTATACCAAGGATGCTTCCAGAACACTTGGAAGTCAAGATTCCTAGGGGCCAAGTCTCTTCTCTGCAACTGCCTGGGGGCCCCACTGCAAAGTCATAACCCCATTAAGGCTTCAAGACTGACTCATCTGCCAAGGATTTTAGATGAAAAAATTAATTTGGCCCTACCCAGCTCTACTGTGTCAGTAAGTGGTAAAGTCAGGGCCCCCTGGTGCAGGGCCAGAGACGGTGGTTCTGGGAGGCACTGGAGCGTATGGAAGAGACCTCGAACTGGGGGAAGGTGGTACCGAACACCAAATACCAAGGAAGCATCAAAAACACAAGTGAACAGCTTGCCTGGGGCGTGCCCAACATACGAAGTTTCAACTTTGTTGTGAGGCTGTGGGGGGTAATGGTGGTCCACAGTCCCACGATCCTAATCCCTTTATTAATCAAATCACCAGTGTAGCTTTCTCAGATGGAACTCAGGGTCTCACCTGCAGGAATACACTCTTGATTACAGACGAGGTGATCAACCAAAAGGCAACCGTCTCGGAGAAATCTATTTCACCATTTACCTGGTTGGAATCTACCGTGTTCAAGAGCCCCAAGGCCCCAGGTCACTGGGTGTACAGAGACGTGAAGCCCAGTCTGAGCTGGGTGGGGTGGGGTTGGGTGGAGGCCCTTGCTCCAATGCGCAGATCTGGCCTGCCAACAGTCCTAACAGTGTCTCACATTCTGGAAGCTATACCAGAGGAAGGATGCCACAGAGCTCAACTGGGGCCTCCCCTAATGACTGCTACGAAGGATGAACAGCTCCCACCCGGGCAGCGTGGCGTGGTACAGGGTCCCTGGGGGAAGTTGAGCGTCAGGCCCTGTACTGGAGCTGCTGGACTTGGGAAGCCTTAGGTACAGACTCCGGACCACAGAGGAATCCAGTCCAATAAGGAGATAATGAGAGGGAAAAGTTAAGCAACGTAAGTAAAGTGAACTTCAAGCGTAAGTAGATACTAAGATGTAGAAGTCAATGTGGACAGGCCCAACCGCAGCTTAGAGCAGGTATTACTCCAAAATCATAGAATAAAACAAAAGAGCCATAATTAGGTTTTATGAAGCTAAGAATGGAAGATCCACTTTAGAACTGTGTATGGGAGTGCCCACCACAAGAAGAGAGCTGAAACCGTATGTCTTAGCTTCAGAAATTCAAAACACATGCATGCAAACTGCCTGGGAAAGCAGAACCTCTTTCTTTGACAAGCCAACTTCAGTGGTTTAAAAATAATTATAAGCAAGGGCAAAAACAGCATGCATTAGCTTTGGAAATCCATTAATTTACCAAGGAAAATGTAAGATGGAGGACAGTGAGCAGTATTTTTTTTTCTGAAGTCATTATATCCAGGTCATTCTCTTCTGCATCTCTTGTGTTTAAAATAGGATGCAAAAATCTACCAGGAAAAGACGATTCTGCCTCTCAGGACAACACAGCCCAGCAATTCGCTCATGGAAATGCAGCTGCTGTTTCTCTGTGCCCACACTCCTCAGAAGAAAACAATGCAGGTAGTCCACATTTCAAACCACTTATTTGTTAAATTCAGAGAAAGATATATATACATATATATGTATAAGACAAACTCACAGACACAAATGAGATAGAATTGATTTCCTCTCACAATGTGATTTATGAATAGACATGCTCTGGGTTTAATAAAAAGAACTTACCTTCTTAGACTTTTTTCTTAAGGTATAACCTCTGTACCACCCTAAAAAGCACAAAGTTGAAACAGTTAGTACAGGGAGGCATCCTAGGGCCCGAACAGGAGCTGCAGGCTGTGTACAACTCACTGCCTTGCAGAACCAGAGAAATCAGTTTGTCACAGAAGTCAATACTCCTCACACCTTGGAGATGCACCACGGGTTTCCTAGGGCGTCTCAAAACCATACCAGAAGCCTGGCTCAGGCCCATCAGACACAGACCTCCAGCTCCTGCATCTCCAAGTGCCATGCAAGGCCGTTAAACTGTCAGCCTGAAGTTAAAAAGCACAGTTTCAAGAGGAAGAACTGTGTTTTGACCTCTCACCCCTGAGTAGGCTGCTTGGCTATGCATTTTCCCATCTCTCCCTTTGCCTGATTTGGTCAGGGTTACTGCCAAGGGCACATACCAGCATCCTCAGATCCAGAGCTGCACAGAACAGAAAAATGATTGAGAGCTAACTTCATCCCTCCTCAGTACAGAGGGACTTTGCCTGGAGCAGCCTGGATCTCACAAAGTGCTTCTATGGCACAGACACCACCTCCCCAGGAACCACCAGGCCAGGGAACACAGGCCCACCTACCCCTTCAGGGTCTTGCCTAGACTCAGGTTCCCATGCCCCCAGTGTGGGGATGGAAAGGACAACGAGTGAGAAGACAGACAAGCTAGAACTGTTTGCTCGTGCTCAGTGCTAAATGGAGAAGTCCATTCAATGGGGGCCAGACCTGACCACACCCTGGCACCCCACCCTGCCCAGGCTGAGGGCAGGAACTGTCCCTGCAGATGCCTGGGGCCCGCAGCCAGTCACCAGCCTCCCAACAACTCCACCACAGCCCGACATCAGCGGATGACTTGCTATCCCAAACCCTCTGAAGCACCCTCAGGCTCCCTCGCTCCGGAAAAGCAAGTCAAAGGCTCAGACAAATTCCAACTGTGCCCCACAGCAGCAAAAGGGCCCAGTCAGAGAATCACAGAGAACACCTGGAAAGAGCACGCTGGGTAAACTGTCAGAGAATAACCAAATATTGGGTTTTATACAGTATCAAAAAGGCAAACCTCAGAAACCAGGAATGTCTGAATGAGCTCAGAAACTGAAAATGGGCAAATACTGCAGCAATGCCATCATGCCTCATACAAAGCAATCATTTTAATCATCAGAGGTGGGGGGCACGACTACAAACCTGAAAAGGATGGCGTTGCAATGAGCGAAATCCTCCAGGAATTATTCAAAGATGCTTTCCAAGCAATCAGAAAAGGAGGTGGAAATGCCCGGATCCTTGCAAAGTTTGCTAAGACCCCGAGATGACCAAGCAAACCCACGTGGCTTCCCTGACAAGGGGACTAAGCCTATCAGTCAGGGGCCCTGCCCTAGATTTCAGCCCCATTTGGAGAATTATCTCCCGACAGCCATACTGCCCGCTGCAGCGATCTCCACAGGCCAGCCCTGAATAACCACCTCCAGCCCCAGGAGTGTCTACAGACAGTGAAACAGAAAAGTGGGCAGGTCAATGAAGTTCTTCAAAAGGCTGCATTTACTCAAGTTAAAGGACTGTCCTCTATCCAGTTATTATACATCCTTCTTGCATTTTCAGTGCTAATGTGCCCTTTCTTTCCTGACGCCTACAAGGGATGAATGTCCTTGAACGTGTAAGGAAACACTGCAATGTGACAAGGAAAAAACAGAAACCAGGTAAAAAAGGAGTAGCGTTTATCAACAGCGTACAGAAGAAACCCAAAGACATCCACATGGAGATATGCTCAGACTCAGTAACAGGAAACATGAGGTTTAAAGCAATATTACAGCACCAATATCAGCACCGTAGACGTTCTAACTACACAGGAATGGGGGGAGCCCTGGGCAATAGAGGCAGGAGAGCGCAGTGCAGCAGCCAGCCCGGAAGCAGTCCTCCCTGCTTATGCCAAGTGCGTAGACTGAAAGCCCATGGCCAGCAACCCCTCATGGCCACACATCCCGAAGACGCAGCCTCCACACGCACAGCAAGCCAGAGCCAGGGCCACGGCAGCTTGGGCGAGCGTGTGGAAGGGGCCCGTCTGAGCACCCACATCTGGGAGGGCAGTCAGGAAAACGTGGGGCATGCACACGGAGCAGGAAGAGCCACAGACCCAACACACGCAGATAACAGGAGTGCACCTTAGAACACAACACGGAGTAAAAACGTAAGAGGAGGGGTAAGAGTTACCACCACATTTATATGCGTGAACAATATACGCATACCATACGTCCAAGAACACAGCAAACACAAAAATCCACTTCAAACACAGTAGAAGGGTTTTCTACGAAAAGGGGGAGGACAAAGGGGTGAGCTCTGGGGAGGAAAGGCAGGGAGTCTTGTCTTTTATTTAAAGTTATAATAGATGGTGGTGGCTTTTTTAACTGCCTTCCCCAAGCAAAATGAAAACCTGTGGTTTTCCTCCACAAGATTATGTGCATGCAGTATTCCTACAACCGAGTGCACACGCTACTATGTGCCAGTGGCTGGACTAGAGCACATACACAAGGAGATTAGACCTAATTTCTGCCCTTCATGAGCTCACGAGGAGCCCCACTCTAGGACAAGCAAGCATCAAACCACAAAGCAGGTTGCAGGACATGTTAGCGTGAAGGAGACAGGATGGCCCTGCAAAGGTTTCCTGCAGGGAGACGTGGGGATGTGAGACAATGATAACCCGGCCGTCCTGTTGGGGATGAGCAACAGGGGATGAGCCAGAGGCGGGGAGGCTCCCAGCGAACAGCATGGACAGGCTAATCAACTGCTCCAGGCACGGTGCACTAGCATCCTCCACGGAGTCAGCCAACCTACTCCAAACAGGGAACACCCACCAAGGTCAAACACAGGCACGAGACAGTCCCAAAACTCAGGGAGGGCACGAACCAGCACAGGGAAATCCGGCCAAGTCAGCAACACCATAGGACGTTCCCAGCAGGCCAGGGAGCACACACTTGAGTCCAAGGGGGGACCAGTGGGCACAGCACCAGACAGAGCAGGCAGAAGGAAGGCCGGAGGAGCTCCTGCCAAGGGGTGGCTTATGCTAAGGCTTCTACGACGGCCTGTGTTATCAGATGGAGAAGGGGGGAGTCACACCAGGTCTACTCGCTGTGCTTCTGAGAAGTGACCAGCAGCAAGGCCGAACGCGAATGGGAAAGAGGCTGGGGCTGAGGCTGGGCAGGTGGGGGCCTAATCTCCAGGGATCACCACGGTCCTGGGCCCTGCCCAGTTCACAAGTACCTGCCTGAAGCTGGACAGGACATCCACCTGTGTCACGTGTATTATGTCCCGCTCTGAGTATTGGCAACAAGACAGCCAACAGCCATCTGTGACCAAAGCAGTCCTGACAGACAGCACCCACACGCACTGGGCATTCTGGAGAAAGACCTGGCAGCTGTCCTGTGGGCAAGATTTTGCAGAAAGCCTGGGCGCAAAGGCAGCCTAGTGATGGAGGCCCAGGGCAACGGGGTCATTCTCAGGAGGCTGGTGTGCGCAGTACAGTGATCTGCCCCGGAGCTGGGGCCAGGTGGCCAGTCACCTGGGGTGGGGTTCAAAGGATGCCTGCTGGATGGAGGCAGGACGGAGGGCTTGGCGGTCTCATGTGAGATGAGAGCCGGGTCAACACGACGGCCTCTTCCAGTCTGTTACGGGTTACACTATGTCCCCCAGAACAGATGTTGAAGTCTCGACTCCCTCTGGAATATGACCTTACCAGGTCTTTGCAGATGATCAGGTTAAAATGAGTTCATTACAGGGACCCCTAATCCAATGCGGCCGGTGTCCCCTTACAGAAAGGAAATAGACAAGACACACACGGGGAGATGGCAGTGTGAAAATAACAGCAGAAATCAGGGTAATGCTTGTCATGCCAAAGGACGCCCGCGATTGTCAACACAGCATCAGAAGCAAGGACAGGGGCGTGGAACAAAGTTCCCCCGCAGCCTCAGAAGGAACCAGCCCTGTCAACACCTTGATCTTGGACTTCTAACTGGGGCAGAATCCATGTCTGTTGTTTCAGCCGCACTGTGTGAAGGAGCCCAAAGAAGCTCACACGGTCCTCATTAAGACCTCTGGTTAACAGATGCTGTCAGCATGAAAAGGAATTAAGGAACTAAAGTGCATTTTGGAAAATGTATCATTATCACTTTTTAAATTTTGGATAAATTAAGTTCCCCGGTGTTGTGATTTAAGCAAAAGGATCATTTCCTAATTTCTGGGCAACACCTGCAAGCTCTCTCTGGGTGCAGCATCCAGCACCCCACCGAGATCCTTACGGAAACAGGCAGGCGGCGCATCCTTGGCCGAGAGAGTCACTCAATAAACCTCTGTGATCTTGGCTCACCCCTCCTGCCCGGCTGACCCGGATACTGCTCAAAGGCAGGGGCATGCCCTCCATGACCCCTCAGAGCTCTATCCACCTCCACAGTGACCTGTAAACTTCCTTTTCTTTGTTCTAACGCTCCAGGCCTTCGGAGCATGAGAGAGAGACATTAACCATAACTTAAAGGGGAATTTGTTCTGTGACCCTTCATATAAGAAGTGATCGTCTAGAATTTATATTCTCTGGAGCAATCTCCTGAAAAGGATCAGACAGAAAAAGAAAATTAAATTTGACAAGTAGAAATAAATTTTCTTAGAGGAAAAAAGTAGGAGAGGGAAGGGGAACGAAAAAGAAAATGCCAAACTCCCATAAAATCCATGAAACTTAAATAGAACAAGTGGAAAGAGCAGAAAAACAATTATTCCATTTTTATTTGCTGGTACAGTCACCAACTTTCCCAGTCAAAACTACTTCCCCAAATGCATCTCTCTGATTGGATTCTGATTAAAACCAGAAAGAGAGCTGTCAGAGAAGAGGGATTTGCTTTATGTGAAAGGGTCTTTACACAGACTGTTGATCAGAGTTGGGAAGGCTGACTGGTCCCTAAATGCTCACTGCAGAATCCTTTATCATAATGCCGGGCACAGGGTCAAATGCCTGCTATCCGATTGTTTTTTTAAGCTAAATGGATAGCAAGGATCATTGACTCATGCAAGGCTTCCACTGTTTAAAGAGGACAATCTTCTTATGAACCAAAGAACAAGAGGCTGCAGTCTGACAGGAAATTGTTATCCATTCAGAATGACGTCATTGCCCACTGTTTATTAACCAGGATTTCAACTTCAGCTGAGCAGGGGTAAAAATAAAATAAGACGCCAGAGCATTTTTCTCTTAAGATTTTTCTCTTAAGATCAGTGTCTGAGATGCAAGGTTCGATCCTTAACCTCAACTTAATTTCCCTCTGTTTCCACTCAGCTGCTGGCATTATCTACTGACAGCAGACAAGGCGATCCAACTGTCAGCTATAAAGCTGAACACGAGCAGAAGGCACCCATCACAACTACTCATTCACTTAAGGGCTGGGTCTGGTTTTGCAGCATTACATCTGCTTCCAGGCATATGCCACTAAAGCTGGGTTTTTTTTTCCATAGGTCATTTTTAGGGTAAAAGATGCAAATGGAAGTCAGCATGCATCAGAGGGGGAAACGAGGGACGGGGACATGGTATATATCTTTAATAGCTTTCCCATTCTCAGAGTGTCTACGGGACACTGGAGCAAGCCGCAGCTTGCCCGGAGCACAGAAGCTTTGCAGCATGTCACTCTTGTGCAAAGTGGATTTCAAAGACCAAGTCTGAAGTTCAATTTGATTACTACGGGCTGTCTACAATTTCCTCTCCACCCCCACCTCCTAGTGGAAGGGTTTAGATAAACCCAATCTAAAGGCAATGTGGCTGTGGAAATGATCAATTTTAGTCAGTTCTTTTTATTCACATGCCATATGCGGGTCGCCCTTCAGGCAGGAAATAAAACCACCGATGTTAAAACACTATTTTACAAAACTTCTAGATGTGAGGAGCCTGAAAAAAAAAAATCAAGCCCATCACTGCCTCCCTTCCAGGCAACAATAATCTCAGCACAAAACAAAAAGTGGGCTGTTTGTGTAACCTGCAAAACATTAAACGTAAGAACTAATTGTTTGAAGAAGCAAGAACACTGGAAAACCACTGCAATGGACAGAGTATTTACTGGGTAATAATAATGACTGCTTCCCTGGGCCATGTCCCACATTAGCTGTGACAATCTCCGTTCACCCCTGGGAAAATGGGTTACAGATTGAAAAATAGAAAAGAATTAAGAAATGACAATTTTGGTGCCTCTGAGAATGTTAACAAATCTAAGTGAGGGCACAAAAGTCTCACCACTCACATCAAACACCTCAAAACAAGGACTTAACATACTAAAATATCTCAAATGTATTTTTCTTTCAAATGATCCATTATTAACAGTCAAGATTCAATACATTTGCAAAACAAAAAAGAGAACCAATGAGTTCTTTTTAATGAAAACAGGTATTTCAACAGCAAACTTTGTAAGTTAAAACAGGAATGTTTAGATTCAAATCCATCTCAATAAAACATAATTTAAATAACAGCCTCACTAGGGTCCCTGCCAGAAATGGCATCCTTCAGGCAAGAACACCGATCGTTTGAGAAAGGCACCTGATCATGCATGCTTTCAAAACAGAACAGTGTTTCAGGCAGTGAAACGTGTTAAATGCTCAAGACAATAAGAGAAAAGAGACTAAAATGCAGACGTACCTTCGTATGTTTCCAAGATGTGCACAGTGTCCCCTATCTGTAACGAGAGCTCGTCTGCTCCCCTGGCATCATAGTTATAAAAAGCTGTTAAGACAAAGGGGAGAGAAGGTATTAGGGGAGGTCGAAGTGACCTTACTGGTCTGTTTGGCTTGTTGTTAATGCTGAGACACACTCGATCCTTGCCTGGATCATTCCCCCTTTCTTTCAAGAGACAAACATTGGGGTCATCAGTTTAAGTAGCAGACACTCATTGCCGCCCAGAAGACCACACCGCTACCAGTGAACTTTTTGTGGTGAAGTATGTATGATGTGAAATTTGCCTTTTTAACCATGTGTAAGTGTACGATGCCATGACATTCTCAATGGTGTGTTACCATCACAACCATCAAATTCCAAAACTTTTTCCTCACTGCAAATAGAAACCCCAAGCCCCTTAGGCAACACTCCCCATTCCCCCATCGATCCACCCCAGCCCCTGACAACCAGCCCCGCTTTCCGTCCTCTGGATTCGCCACCAGCAGCCCCATGTAAATGCACTCCTACCCTACGGTGCTTTTGCGTCTGGCTGCTTCCACTTAATGTGATGTTTTCAGGCATGTCATACCATGCGTTATTCCTTCTTATGAATGAATAATGTTTATAACGGCAAGACTGAGGATACTATAGACATTTTAATGATCATTTCATATACCATCTTATATTTCCAATAATAGATTTTCTCATTCGATGACTTTTCCCTACCTGCAAATCAATTACACATGGACTGGATATTCTTTGAAAACCACATTGATTTTAAAAATCATCACATAACTAACGTCAATGTTAAGTCAAAAACCTACATTGCAATCAAACAAGGCAAAAATATGTCCAACATTAAGAATCCTTAAAATGGGCATTCATCAAACTCCAAAATCCCAAAAGTTTATCCTGATATAAAGCAGTTCCTAACCCTCCTTGATAAGCACCTAAAAAAGTCATACCATTAAAGTCAGACCACACTTTTGTCAGGCATTGTAAGATGAAGACAGCTGTCACCATGAAAAAAGGACGTTACAAAATGTTTAAGACACCAAAAACATCAAATTAGCCCTACTGTCAGTTGAACAAATAACAATGATGCAATGATGTTCCTCCTTCCCAATGGATTCTACCTAAAAAGAAACCATACTCTATATACAAACTCATCTTCAAACGCCTGATCAGTGCCTCACACATCCATCCTCAACACGCTGCAGACGCTAACCTTACATCGCACCTTCTCTGTGCCCATCTCTAAACTTCTCCTTGATCCTGGCAGTGCAAGCTCCTCCCACCAGCATGGCGGGCCCGCACCACCTGACCACCGCACCTCTCCTTCCTTCCAGCCACCCACCCCGGAAGCCTGTCTCCACCTCTCCCTGGGAGAAAGAAGCCAGCCCACCCCACACGTGTGTGTACCAACTTACCCCCCACCCGCCATCCTTCCCACCGCATGCCACCTCTTCCAGGAAGCCCGGTCCAGGTATTTGTTTGCTCTTTCAACCCCTTTCTCAAACATGCAGACCCCCAGCACATGTCTGGCGCAGGCTTCATGGCTGAGCTGTCTGCAGCTGTGAGGGTGCCCAGACCCTCAGGGCCACACAGCCCCTGGTCTTCAGGTCCACGGTCTCCGGAGCCAGAACAAAACGGGCAAGGTGACACCTTGACCCCTGAACACCTGAGGGACCCCCAGCAAGTGACCTAGCCTCTCCCCAGCCTTCCCATCTGTAAAACGACGATATTGACCCCTACCTCACAGACTTTGTGCGTTTGTGTCCTACACCGAATACCACTGAGGGATTTAACAATCTGGTGCAGGGGTGGCCCGCAGTGAGCACTCGGTGACTGGCAGAAGCTCTTCCTATGGTTGGAAGTATTTTGTTTTTATTGCAATAAAAATTTCTATTGCTACCAGAATCCTTTTTTAAAAAGCCAAAGCCAAGTGGACTATCACACTGACAAAAACTCTAAAATATCAAAAAGCGCACACATTATATACAATTCCATTTTTGCAGATATTTTCCTATATTTTTACCAAAATTCATAAAACTTAAATGTCCTCAATACATAAATGGTTACCAGAAGTTAAGTTTATTTAGCATTTTATGGCGAATGTTTAACAAGAAACAACCGCATTAGGTGAAGGAAGCTCGGAGCATATGCCAGCCTCCTCAGATTAGCATGACCATATTCCTGAGCCTTGAGAAACCATACGTCCATTTATCACAGTTCTTAACAGCACTCCTGCCTGCATGCCTATTTGTTACAGATGTGGAGAAAATAAACACATCAAAAATAATTAAAAATAAAATGAACACATCCAGTCTAAACACATTTGGGCTACATGAATTTGTAATGGCACACATAAAAACCTTTAAATACGTGCCCCCTCCATCTCTGAAGTAGGCAGACAAAGGCACATGTGAAAATCTCATACGTGAACAAAGGAACTTCAAATCTGAACTATGAAATGAGCCTTAAAGAACCCTGATTTTATAGGTGAAGGGAAAAAAAGCCTGCAAGGGTTTATGCACTGGCCCCCCTGGCATGGCAGAGAGAGGACCAACGTATAGCTGTCCACCACCATATGGCTGTCCAGCCTCTGCCTCTATGCTCAGTATTGCACCTTCAACAATCCCATATTTAAAGGCGAATTGAAAGACTCAACTACATAAGATTATTGAACAAGGGAGTGGGAGAGAGCAGACAGTATGGCAGACAGAATAATGGCCCCCAAAGACATCCACGTCTGAATCCGTAACCTGTTGCATTTTTCCTAATGTGGCAAAGGGGCCCGTGCAGATGCAATGGTTCAGGACCCTGAGCTGGGGTTGCTAATCTTGGATTCTCCAGTGGGCGCTATGTCCTCACAAGGTCCCATAACAGCAGGAGACAGGAGGGTCCAAGTCAGAGAGAAGAAGATGTGACCACAAAAGCAGAGGTCGTAGTGCTATAAGGAAGGGGTCGCGAGCCACAGAATGCAGGCAGCCCCTAGAAACTGGAAAAGACAAGGAAACAGACTGTCCTCAGAGCCTCCAGAAGGAACACAGCCCTGCCCACCCTTGACTTTAGGACTTCTGACCTCCAGAACAGTTAAGATTATACATTTGCATTGTTTTTAAGCCCCAAATTTGTGGTGATTTGTTACAGCAGCCGTAGGAACAATATACAGGGCCTGTGCAGAGAACACTGCAGTATGGAGATTGCGGTCACTGACTCACGGCTGAAGGCAGCTGGAGCCAGGGTCCCAGCGGCAGGCATCTGAGTCTTACCAATCTGGGGCCAAATTTCCCCCAAATCTTGGGTGATAGAAAAATGCAGACAATGCAGTGAACTGTTCCTCGATAAACCCAAAGGTATTCAGTGTAAAAGACGATTCCTTAGAGTCATCGGACCTTTCAAAGCTGCCTGTTCCCAGAGGTAAGAGCAGAGACACGAGAGAACAGAAGCATCTTCTCCTGTATGAAGGACGACAGGGACCGATGTCAACTGGGATTAAAAATGCCTTTACTTGAGAGAAGCACAAAGATGGCAGCCTTTTTGCAAGTGGCCCAATTTGTCTTCTTTATTTTTCTGATCTGTTAAGGTCTGGGAACAAATCCACAAGAGAACATGGTCCTCTGCACCCATTCACACCTCTGGACTCACCTCCCTCTGACTGGTGGGCTATATGCTAACACAGTCCTTCTGCTCACATCCATTTGCCCAGCTATAGATGTGTCACTGGGTATATATGTAAATCCACATGAATATCTCAGTCCTGGAGCACAGAGTCCAGTGCAGAAGCTTGACATGTGGCTCATGTGAAAAGGATGGTGGTTTTCTCTTTTTCTGGAAAAGCTGGCAGCAGCCCAAAGTGAGTAAGCCCAGGGATCTTTTCTCCCAAAATTAAAAATTAACACTCTGACCTGTGCCCCACTTAGCTTACACGCATCAGAGACATGAACAGTCAAAGTCATCACCCGGGTTCAATCTCCTAAGCATCCTAACAACGGCTGCCTGGGGATGTAGCATAGGAACTATGGTGCATCAATGAGAGAAGGGCCCCCAGGTGCACCAATGGTATTAATAACCCTGACAGTGAGGATGCTACGGATGGAGCTACCATCCTGATGGTGGGACACAGGCATACCACGGGTGATGACAGTGGCGACAGTGACAGTGACGGTGCTGGTGGTGGTGACAGTGCTGACGCTTCTGGCTCACATGTACTGGGTATGTTCTGTGGACTAGGCAGTGGGCTAAGAGTTTCATACATTCAGGATAATGTAATCGTCACAACAGTGCTAGGGATTGGATATCAAGTTTTCCCATTTCCTGCATCAGGGTTACGGTAGCCTGGAGTCTGCTCATGTATGAACAGCCTGTGGAGGGGCTGCACAGGGCCAGCAACCAGCCTGCACGGCTTCTTGCTCAGCCCTCTGTGGGCCTCAGACCACCCCGTGGGCTCTCCTGCCCATCACAACAGCCAGCTGGACTTCTCTGACAGGCAAACACATGTGCGCATTCCTGAAGTCCACTCATGTCTCAACTGCCACGCTAATGGACTGCCCGTTCCTTACACAGAACTCGGGTCGGTAATTCCAGATATGCAAGGTCTGTGTAACATCCAAAAACCAAACAATGTAATTCATCACATTATCACAGTAAAGGATGAAAAGTCCTAAGACCATCCCAACTGGTACAGAAAAAGCATTTGATGAAATTCAACTTCTGTTCAGGAAAAAAACAACAAAACCAACGTGACTCTCTGACATTAGGGGGAAAAACCCCTACAACCCATCAACCTATTAGTCAGAGGAAACACACACCCTACAGGAGTCATGATTGGAGGTGACACACCCCTGGGACCGCATGGTGTCCCTTCCAGACTACCTCCACCAGCCCACACTGCCTGGCCCGAGCCTTCACCGCATCTCACCGAGATGAAAAATAATATTTCAGCTGATCTCCCTGTATAAACTCTTTTCTTCTCTCTATCCTGAGAGTTACCTTCTTGAAATCTCCAAAAACCTGTGCACTTCCCTTGGTTTCCTGAATAATGACTAGCTTCTCCGGCATGACGT